CTTGCATCCCTGCTCCTTGCATCCCTGCTCCTTGCATCCCTGCTCCTTGCATCCCTGCTCCTTGCCGTGTGCCTTGGGTGCTGCAGCTCAGCAATTCACCGCTCCATCGGTGTCACAGTTTGTTGTGTGGCCTCTATTGGCTGCCTTGCTCAAAGATTATGCTTAATATCAAACAAGAGGAAGGAATGAGAGTAAACTGGAGATGCTCCAGCGAGGTAAAAGGGGAAGCGTTCAGATGTAAGGTTGGAAACAATTTTATATTAAAAAAAAAAAAAAGCAAACTGTGCTGAGAAGAAAAGGCTGCAGGGAGACCTCATTGCAGCCTTCCAGTGCTTGAAGGGAGAGTATAAACAGGAGGGGAATGGCTGTTTGTGGGGGTGGGTAGTGATTGGACAAGGGGAATGGTTTTAAAGTGAGACGGGAGGTTGAGGTTGGATATGAGGAGGAAGTTTTTCACACAGAGGGTGGTGAGGCACTGGAACAGGTTGCCCAAGGAGGCTGCGGATGCCCCATCCCTGCAGGCATCCAAGGCCAGGCTGGATGTGGCTCTGGGCAGCCTGGGCTGCTGGTTGGTGACCTGCACACAGCAGGGGGTTGGAACCAGATGAGCACTGTGGTCCATTTCAACCCAGGCCATTCTGTGATTCTTTCACAATCTTTTTTTCACGTTTTTCTCCCACAAAGGGTTACTGAGTGCTGAGATGGATCCTAGCAATTATTTCCTTTGGCTGCAGTGCTCTTCAAAAGCAATCTCTTGCCTTGGTTGTGTTACTTACACCCCTGGTATAAGAGACAGTGTAGTTATTGTCCCATCTGGCTTGTCTTGGAAAGCAGAGATTTGGGGGGTAGGGAGGGGTTGGTTTTGTTTTTCCAAGGAACTTCATTGTGCTCTACTTTCCTTTTTTTTAAGAGTTTTATTCTCACTTAACACCTCCTGCGAGTGGGATGGGAGTTCTTTCCATCCCCATCTCCAGCCAGCCTGCCTGATGCTGCTGTTTTGATGGCGGTGCTCAGTTGTGCTCACGTCAGCATATCTTTGAATTTCCATAACCTGATCGGTTTTATCACTTAATAAATGATAGAATGCCTTGTTGAAATCCATAGTAGTCCATAATAGTCTTTTTCTCAGTGATGCTGAGAGCAAATGTGGTGAATGCAAGATCCCAGAATGTGGACTCCAAACCTGCCCCCAAGTGAGCTTCAGCTCTGAGAAGCACAGTGTTGCATTTATTAGTTCCTGATATGATCAGAATCTTTGAAACAATGAGTTTGTTTGTTCATGGTCCCTCGAAGCCCCAGAGCTGAGTAACCCTGGTGTTGAGCTGCTCTGTGTGGAGAGGTTCCAGTGGATGAGCTCACACGCATTGCTTGGATACTGAATGCCTCCAGTTGTTCACCTGGTGTCCCTTCAGTGTGTCAAAGCACTACCAAGCTCTAATGCTATCAAGAAGGCCGGGTTTAAATTAACTAGAAGAGTTTTAATGGGAGTGCAGTCCTGTTTTTTTAATGGTTAAACAATAGCTCTTGCTTTTGGGGGAGGAATAAAGCTGCCTTTCAGGAAAAGCAAAGCAGAGGAGGGTTTGCACTGCCTGGCAGCACGAGGTGAAGGCGCAGTGGAAGTACTGCTGCTCCCTGCAGAGCACTGAGAGGCCTTCTGGGCAGGAGCTGGAGAGAAAATCAGCGTGGTTCTGTTCAGGCTGGAACGGGTTTAGATGTTACCCCCATACACACAGGCCTGTTTTCTTCTTTCTTGCTTTCAAATGTTGGTAGCATTCATTCCTGCGTGCTTTAGAAGCTGCGTGCATCCCACATCTGGCACCTTTAAGCGTTGCAAAGATCTAATTTGCTATTCAGACATTGTTTAATTCTGAATCCAGTCTTCTGCATATAACATAAGCTGCCTTTATGGAGAGACACCCATGAACAAATGCATGAGGTGAAACTGAAGGAACAATTACTGCCGATGAGTCTCCTTACAGAGGAATGCAGGTGCAGGCCGGTCTGCCACTGCTTTTTCCAGTGCCCCACTTTCCAGTGAACACCTTTCCCCATCCCAGTCAGAGTCCTGAATTGTGAATAAATGTGTAGCCTCAAAATGCTCATTTCAATTCAGACCAGTCAAACTGATGTATGTAAGGACCTCAGAAAGAAAGGAGGAATCTAACGTCTCAAAAATGCCTGCTGTACAAGCAGAGTGACTGGTCCTGTCCCATTAGAACCAGACTTTGTGTGCCAAATTTGATTTATTTCCCTTCTATGCAGCATCGAGTAATACAGGAGGATTGTTTTCAGTAGCTGTTAGAGTCATAGAATCATCAAGGTTAAAAAGACTGCTAAGATCACCAAGACCAACCATGGCCCCTCACCACCACACCGCCAGCCACGTCCCTCAGTGCCCCCTCTACCCTGGCACGCCAAGTGACAAGAAGTGGAATCCCACACATTTCCCATTTGGAAGCTCAACCCAAATGGTGCCACCTCCATTCTCATCTATGCCAAACGGTATTTTTAAGTCATGTAAAACAGATCTGGATTGAATTGCGTCACTGAACCCCAATTTTTGTGCCAGAGGTTCAATCCGAGCATCAGAGTCATTTTGCAGCTATTGGCAAGTCTTCCTTTCCCTGGCCTTGCTATGCTTTCTGAACAGGCAGTGGCTAATTAAACAAGGTCATCTGTCCAACCTCAGGTGGCAGAGCTGGTGGCATCTCCTGGTTGTGCAGGTTGAATGGTATGTGCCATCCCATGTTGTGCAAGCTTTTATTCTAAAAGCCAAGTCACCCATGTAACAAGCCAGCCTGAAGCAAGAGTGAGGGATGTTTCGTGAGCTCAAAGTCACCCCATGCAGCTCTACCCAGGAGACTCAAAGACCTCCCACTGCCAGCACCTTCAGTTAGAAGACCTCTACGTTGGCATCCACCACAGCTCTGGTGCATTTTGCAATGGAAGAACTCATTGCATTGGTTACATCAGGAATCTTTAGCATCCAAAGTTAATTTTCAGACTGTTGTACACCCTGAAATATCTCTGTGCACGTTTTTTATTTTCCTGCATTTGCAGGGGCCTTGAATTGAGCTTGCTGCATCACACTCTGGCAGCGGACAGCGTTCTTGGTGATGTGCAGTTTGAATCTGTTCAGTAGATCTTGGGGTTTCATAAGAAGCTTTGAACTTTGGCCCATCAGCTTCTTCTGGGGAAGGGCAGAACCATTTCGAGGATATCAGTGCAGAGTTGAACTGAGATATTCTGTTTGTCCAAATTTTCATTTTCTTTCTACTGGCCGTAGTCAGTCACAATGGCAAGCAGGAGTTTGAAGGTAATGGGCTGCACAGTTGGAGGGAAGAGATTCTTACTGGGTTTTCCTTGGCAGAAGCACATCAGACTGCTCTTCCTAAATGACCTGTGATGATGTAGCAAAGCTGTCCAAGTGGGACTGTTTGTTCTGAAGGCATCTTAACAGAACCAGGATCCTTGGGATGTTTGATTCTGTGATTTGTTCTGATCCTCACCACGTCAGATCGTCTTGTGACATTGGACAAGCGACTTAAAATTGATCTATTTGGATCCAACAGGATCTTTGGTTGTTTGTTTTTTGTATGACTAAATGAAATCACAGTGTATTTGCAGAGATCTCTTAAAAAAGAGTTGTCTTTCTGTGAGCCAGCAGAAAACAGGCACAGAAGCATTACAGTTGGTGCTCACACAAGCTGCTCACTATTAAAATTCCTGTGCCCCACAGACGAACAAGAGGCCTTGAACTCCATCATGAAGGACCTGGTAGCACTCCAGATGAGTCGGCGTCACAGACTGACTGGATTTGATACCATGAAGAATAAAGACACCTCTCACTCCAACAAACAGGTAATAGGATGTTTGATGGGTGCTTGGAATCGGTACCTGGAGGCAGAAGGGACAGAGCAGGCTGACAGTGGGCCTGCTGACTGCATGCTGCCGTGTGCTTTTAGCATTACAAGTGAACAATCCCTACTCTTGCTCAGGTGTTGCCAGCATGGTAGCTTTGTTCATTTATTTACCTCTGTGGCCTAAGGAAGGTGCAGTTTGGGTGTTTTGCAATGTCTCTGTTCCATCTTCCTCCCACGTGCGTTTCTGATGGGTTTTGGTCTGTGTAGATTAGCTAAGAAGTTTAACAAGTGGTTTTCTGATCTGTGCTGCCTTTTTATTGAAGAGACTTTTTCTTCTTATTCTTAAAGAAAAAGCACAATGCCAGCAGTCCACCCCTCTTGGGCAGCCCTGCAATAACAAACCAGTGTGCCTCTGCAGTGGAAGAAAAAAAAATTCCGGTAAGAAAGTTTGCTTCTTATTCAATATCAGTGATTATAAATTAGGAACATGTTCTAAAATTGTGTGTGGCAACCTTTACAGGATTCACTTCAGTAGATGTCAGGGCCAGGAGAGCTTTTCTTTACTGACTGTCGTGATACAGTAGTAGCATGTGGTTCTCTCTGGAGTGAAAATAATGCTTAAACTCAGAAGGAAGCAGAGAACTGAGAGGCAGTAATGATGAAAAGGAAACAAGTATTTCAACTTGTGATTCAACAGAGGGTCACTGCAGGTTAAAGCTGCGTAAAGCAATCTGTTGGATAATGAACTAATGTCTCATCTTCACATGAGTCAGACTGCGTACGAATACAGAATGAGGAGCCTGATAAAAGTGAGTCAGACTGAAGTTGATTCAAGAACAGCGAAGGGGATTCTCTGGGAAGCCTGGCTTTAGTTAAGGTGTAATAAATCTTGCCTCTGTGAAAAAGGAAGCAGCTCTTTACAGGTGTCTGAATAGAGACAGCATCCTCCTCAACGCTGAGGATTGGCTGGAGTTACCAGATATGTGTCACGTGAAGAGAGAAATGAAAGTAGCCCTTATGTGAGTATGGGGATGCAAAATCTATTTTCCAAATGAAATACTTGTCCCAAGGTAATAAGTGGCAGCATCAATACTTCAAAGCTTATTTGGATTTATTTTACGTTTCTCTACAAAAAACAGTCTGTTGTAAACTATTACATTTTCTTTCTGGTAGAAAGACAAGGCAGACTAGTCCAGCTCTGGCACTATATGCTGCATATTGTTTGAACGAAATACTTCAATTTCAAATCAACAGCTTCAGTCAGGAAGTGTTTGTCCAGTAGTGTCTTAAAGAATTAAGTTAGCTGCAGTTGGATTCAGGTTAACACGAGAAGCTGACTGTGTCAGTAGACTTACTGTTTCCAGTTACGTACTTATTACAGGCTTAAACTTGCTGGAGCAGGCTGTAAAGTACGTGTCTGTCTCTTCCTTGTGCTTTGTCTGCTCGTAATCTTTTTGTTCAGCTGAGATCTGGGATTTCCTCGAGTGTGCTGGACAAATCCACAGACACAGCAGTACGGAGCCCTTTCCAAGTCATGTTGAAATGTAAATTCAGGGAAGTCTTAAATCAAAATCTGTAATCAGTCTTTCTGATGGCACACCACAGAACTGGAATACTAAAACCCCAAACTTGGATTTGTTTTCTTGCTCATCTCTTAGGATAGGTTATGGGAGTCGCTTCAAAGAGCAGTTTGTATGGGGGATAGGTTCCCCATGCTTCCAAAGGAAACACACAGTGCTGGACATTTAACTATTCCAGGTTCTCTCTGAAATGTAAACACTAAGATCGCTTCAAATTCCTCTCCTTAGGTCTTAGGAAAGTGAACACGAATGGCCGGTGTGTGATGCTTCTGGAAAGCATGATCAGAAGATAGATGCCAAATTTTGTCAGTCCCCATGATCACTTTTTTCCCCTTTGTTACAGATGACAGGTTTGAAAGGATGCAGTGAGGTGAGGAAGATATTTTAGTTTGTTCAGATAGCAGCAAGTTGAGGAACGGTTTCTGTAGAGCCCTGAAGAGCTTTTAGTGCTGCCTAATCTTGACTAGCAAGAATTTTGTCACTTAGCTGTTTCATAACCTAAAACTCCTCTTGAGGTCAGAAATTTAATCTATAAAATGACTGTCATTTAATTTCATCCAAACAGATCCATTTAGTTCACTTAGACCAGACTACTTCAAATAGTGCAGAGGAAGATAATTGAGAGCCTTCCTTCCCAGATAATCCTATTACAGGGGGATCATTCCTCCCTCCAGAAAAGGATGTTTCATCAGTAGTTGACTGGTGGGCATCATTTGCAGCTTTTCATTCCTACGCTGCTGCGTTTTTCCTTCACTGTTCAATTAAAACGACCTGTCTAAAATTTGCTTCATTTTGCTGTCTTTCTTCCCACACCTGAAAAAATGTCCTTGGTAGAGTTGATGTGCAAATTAGGCACCTGCAGGTTCTTGTTGCTCTGAGTGGGGAGCTCGTTTGTCACCATCCCTTACGTACCTGTGGTGCTGCAGGAATGCTGTGTGCTGGCACTAATTGCATAGGTCCCTTTGAACTGCATTCTTGACCACCAGGCCTGCCAGATATTTCCTCTCACTGAAGAGCATTTCCTGGCCACGTTTGTTTTGAAGTTCCTAGATGTGTGATTGCCTATTGTCTGAGGCTTTCACAGATGGCTTCATCCACCCCGATCACACAAATCGTGCAGCAGAAATTATGGAGTCTTACCAGAGCAGATTTTTCCCTTTTGTTTTGATCTTTGCGGCCTAAATTGGGATCTGAACGTTGAGCTCCAGAGTTGAAAGTTCAGCAGGTTGACCCTTCCGTGTCATGCAGCATCTTCTGAGTTTGCAGGGAAATGCCCAGGTCGTGCAGTTGTTTTTAACCATCTGCCAGAGAGGAGTGACGTCCCCTTTGCACTCTCAAAGTGACTCTCAGAGGTTTGCTTATTTGTAACATCGCTGAGCCAGGAGCTGAGTTTTAGCAAAAGCAGAGACTGGCTGCAATGTGAAGAATGTCATCTATTCCCTGCATGTGTCTCCTTTCTGCCATGACAAAAAACAACCCACATCTTGAGACTTCACAAAGAAAATGAGCTTCAGTTCAGCTGAATGTGCAGATGGATGGTATTGCAGGCTTTTGTCACACAGTGTTTAAGAGAGATTAATTTTCCTTATCACTAAAATACATCTGTGTCTTCCATAGGACAATGATAAAAATTGCAATTTAGTTTTTACCCCTTTCCTTCTCTTTCTCCCTTAGCAATTTCTCCATTCCTCATGGTGCTGTGTTCACATCTCATCCTCTTAAGTGTCCGCCATCTACTTCAGCTTCCATGCAGAAAGTGGCCACGTTTGCTGTGTTCTGGTTCACCTTCTGAGGAGTCCCTGCCTGCTGCTATCACCTGCTTTGTGTTTGGGCCTTAAAACCATCATGTGGGCCATTCATTTGCTTTACTTTTTGTTGGTCAGAGTTTCATTGTGAACTAACCTCTCGTTCTTTCTTTTATACAGAATGATGTAAGGATAAAGTTTGAATATAATGGGGAAAGACGGTAAGTCTGTCTTCACTTCTTTCCTTGTTTCCTTGTTATTTCCTTTGATATTTGGTTTTCAGATACTTTCTATTGTCCAAAAAAAAAAAAAAAATCAGCTAAATTAGCACTTTCTGTGTTTACAATATTGTTTCTAGGGAGTAAAATTCAGCTCTCTGTGGTTGTTCATGAGGTTTTCTTAGTGAAGAATGAAGGGATGTTCCTGATTTAGTGCATCATGTGAAACCTTGGCTGCTAGAAAATGTTTGGAAATGAAACAAAGCAATCAACAGTGTTAATAAGCACTTAAAGCTTTCCCCTCTTGTTCATAGTTTGTTGTTCATGGTCAGCCTTCAGTGTGAAGCATTCTCCTTGATGAGTGCAGTTTGGAGCATGATGCCAGAGCTTGTTAAAGCTCACTGCATTGGAGCAAGCGATGGGGTGCAAATATTATATCAGTGGGAAGATTTAATGATCACCTGGAGATTTCAGAGGTTGGCCTCAAAAAGCCACTGACTTTTTCCCTATTGGAGGAGAGCTTTATCAAATGTGGGTATTTTTCTTAAAACAGGAGAGCAGAGGCGTTTCTCTGTGGGTAAAGCAGACAATAAAGAACAATTTGTAAACTTCTCCTTAAATAATGGAGCATAATGGATTCTGTGGCTTACAGAAAAGAAGAAGAAAATTGGTGCTCAAGAGGAGCATTTTAAAAGTGCCTCTGCCAGCCCATTGCTCAGCACTGCAGTGATGGAGGCACTGTGTGGCTGCACGGCTCCCCATGCTGCTGTGTTGTGACAAGGCAACTCGGAAACTCGTCACCACTGTCCTGTCATCTTCTGACATCTTCTGTGTCTTCTGCCAGGGCACATTTAAGATGGCTTAGAGCTCAGGGGAGAAGAAAGCTTTTTCTTCGAGTGATGTTAAAATGAAAAGGTTGATTGTGCATTAGTCTAATTATGCAGCTACGCTTCCCCGAATTCCCCATTCCCAGAGTGGTATGCAGTTACAGACAGCAAGCTTGCACCGAGAATGTGAGTGTGTGTGCTTGGTTTCAGAGGAGCTGCCAGATCTGACCACAAATATTTAAGGTGGTCAGGCAGGAATGGGCTCCTTAAACCCTGCAGTCCAGGATTTTGTGTTAGAAGAGCGCATAGAGTTTTTTAAACTAATAGAATTTGTGGCACCTGAGAACAGCTCTGCTTTTTAATGCCTTGAGTGTAGAATGGAAGCCTTTATAAGGGACTTCAGTCCAGCTGAGAGCTAAATTATGGTGCCAGAGTACTGTAATTTCATGGATGGGTTTCTTACTAATATGTAGAAAATGTTATTGTGGGCTGCTTTTTTAGCAGGGACAATTATTGCTAGATTGCTGGATGTTGTAGGTCTGGTGGCAAGATGAACCCTTCCTGGGCAGGGAAAATCAACTAACACTACAGCTATTTAGAACAAAAGCTGCATGCAGTGCAAGGCTACTGAGTGCTGACAAAGCGTGCTGGGCAAATGGAATGCTTAATTTTGGAAATTAAGCATTTTGGAAGGAGATGGCGAGGCAGAAGAGCTTGTAGGCAGAAGAGCTCCAAGGCAGAAGAGCTCCAAGGCAGAAGCACTGACGACCATCTGGATGTGGTGCATGGACTGATTAATAATAAGGTCCTGAGCATTGGACATCACTGGTTTGCTGAAATGAAATCTAATGGGTCGTAAGCTGGAGTTACCATTCAATCCTCCAGTTCTTGACCCAGCGTATTTTATTTACTGGGTATTCTTCTAGGAGAGAGAAAATAATCTTTTTCTATGACTGTCAAGGTAGCAACTTTCAGAGCACTTGGCAACTTCCTACAGCAGGACGTTCCAGCAAAATAAGCAGTTTTAGAAGCTTTCCTGGTACTTCATTTTACTACTTAGCCTAAAGCATTATAGTTTTTATTCCTATGTAGGCAAAACAGTAATAAATACCTGGCAAAGAAAGCTCTGCTACCGTTTTCTGGAAAGCATGCCTGTGCCATGGTGTTCATCAGGGTTTCCTAGGGCAGCTGTGCCTGTTGCCATTGTGGGTTCCTTGAGGCCATTGTAGATTAGGACACGGAGCCATTCAGCTGGCTAGGAAATGGCTGAGTGTTAGGACTGGGATGTGAGTGGGCTGCGAGGTCTGGGCTGAGAGCAAGCAATCAGAGAATCAGGGAATGAGGGCATTCAGAGGCCTCTGTGTCCTCCTCCCGATGCCTGCTGTCAGGAGCTCAGCACTGACTTGCTGTGGGAAAGTTTGTTGAAACCTTTCAGTTGGAACACGTTTTGGAAAATACAAGGAAGTGTTTTTAGTTCAGGTATCAGAGTATTTAAATCAAAACATTCCTTTGTTTTTTTGGGCCTTCTGCTGCTTTTATTGCAACTCTCACTAAATTTATTTGCTTGTGTTTACTGCTTGAGGCGGTGTGCTTTAAGCCAACATACATAGCACGTTTGTATCCTCTTCCATGGAAGAAATGGATTCAGTAAAGGATATTTTTCTCTCCAGGAACAAAGGCATTCTATTACAAAGTTGAATAAATCTGAGATTGAATTCTGTGCTCTGACAAACCAACTGCAAATGCACCTCAGATCGAGAATCAGTGGGATTGGTTTGAATGATTCGGCCATCTAATTTGATTTCACTGTCAGATGCATGTCTGATCTGAGTGGTTTTTTTCTGTTCTTGTTTCAGAATTATCCCTTTTGTCCGTCCCGTGCGCTATGAAGATGTGCAACAGAAAGTGAAAACAGCCTTTGGGCAGCCTCTGGACCTCCACTACCTGAACAATGAGGTACAGAGCATCCTTGTCAGCATTCAGAACATGCAGCAGGCTCTCTGGGTGATGCCTCCTCTTTCCATCCCAGATTCTGTGCTCTTGAGGAAGACGTGCTGGTGCTGACAGAGCATCACATTGGTGTCAGTGTTGTACAGGCATCGTCTCCCTTCTTCCTGCTGGGGTTATTTGGGAGATGCTAATGGGGAGTTTGCATTTGTCTCTGAGGAGCTGGGTAGTTTGTGCAAAGAAGAGGAAGTATTTTAGGATTTCTCACTCATTTCCCTATTTTTTTGTTGTGGTTTTGCCCTTGCACTGTTAGAGACTGCATCCCTAACGAAGGAGATGCCAAACCTTATTCACCAGTAGAAGCTCAACAAAAATAAAAGTGGTTCCTCATTTTTAACAACATCCAAATTTTGGGTCATGAGTGGGGTAAGAACAGAGGGTGTCTGAGGAAAATTTCATGGCATTTTCCTGGCAAGTTTTAAATTCCTCTTTAATTCCCCTCTTTCAAAGTCTAAATCTTCCCTACATCAGTCTCTTAGGTGAAACCTAGCTTTCAGTTGATCGTTAGATCTGGATTCATGCATATTCTGAGAGTGCTGTCATCAGGGAGGCTGGGGCCTGACTCTGACTTCTTGGATAGCTGCCTAAGGGAAATTTGCACGGGGTCAACCACAGCTCTGATGGTGTGGAAGGAAAGCCCTGAACAAAAAGACATTGGGAGAGTATTGTGATGAAAGCTCAGTCAGAATCCTAGCTTATATTGTGGTTTTATTTTCATTTTTTATAGTTTCTTTACATTCCTCTTGTGGAAATAGAGTCATTTTTGCTGTCATTTCTAATGTCTTTTTGTTTGTTTGTTTTGCAGCTTTCTATTCCTTTGAAAAACCAAGATGACCTGGATAAAGCAGTAGATCTCTTAGACCGAAGCTCTAATGTGAAAAGCCTTAGAATATTACTGCTTTCTCAGGACAGAAACCATGTAGGTAACAGCTTCTATGACTGCAACAAAATGAAGGGCTTTACCCTCAAGTCTCTGACAAGCAGTAGTCTTAGCCAACAGGAATTAGTAAGACTGCTTTGCTTCACAGATATACACATGAATATATTTCTTCTCTTTGTTTTGACTTACCTCTAGGGTTTGTTCTGTGAGTTTTTTTGGGTTGTTGGTTTTTTTTTTGCTACTTACAGAAGGTGTTTAGGGACTGAAACACTAAAAGGAGATTTTCAAGCTGCAATTATGAAGGACGTTTTATGCAGAGAATCCAATGACTCTATGCAGAAAGCTTATAATGAGTCTGGATCATAGAGAGTTGTTGTTTTTTTTTAGTTTTGATTGATGACACAGTGTCAAAACTGCACATAATTAGCTTGTCTTTAAGAAAGCACAAGTTGTTCTTGATGACAAGCCATTAGCACTTCTATTCTGGATGGGAAGTCTCCTGATGACTTTTTTAGCTCTGTAGCTTACTGCTTTGGATCCAGTCTTACTGTTAGAAACTGAGTTGCTTTTAAGCTCATGATGGCACATAAGCACCTAAGATGGATTTGGTTGTGTCTTGATTCACTGTCCTGGCTCACAAGGGGCTGTGGCAGTGAGTTTCAATGTGGTTTGCACTTTTCAGCAGCAAAGACCATAACATGAGAAGTAGAGGAGTGAAAGTGTTTAGGTTTATTTGTTTTTTTCTTTTTGGAGTTAATGTCACACAGCATAATGCCAAAGGCTCTGATAACTGAGGTATTTTATTTGCAAATTATTAAATCCTTCTGCACAGTGTGACACAAAACACCACTCTGCCTTGAAAGCTCTGCTGATCGTGGCTTGTTGATCTGGAATGTACAGCTCTGTTCAGGATTGCAGGCTGTCAGCTCAGGCTCTTGGAATCATCACACCTGTAATTCATAGAGCTGTCAGAAGAATGATTTTTTTTTCATTTTCAACTTTTGAAATTGATAATCCGTGTTAATAGACAAATAAATGTCTCCAGGTGTATTAACAGCAGTTTCCCAAGTGTCTGGGTGCCAGAATCTGGAAGGGGCTGGGGGGGTGATGCAGTTCTTTGTCCTGTGCCCCTTCCCTGAGCATTTGTAACTGGCTGCTCCAAGGACAATGCTTGGCAAGAAGACCTTTGGTGTGACCTGATGCAGTCAGACTGCTCTGTGTTGTCAGGAAACGCTCTGCAAAAGGTGGCCTCTCCTTTTGGTATTACACAGCACAACAGTTCTTTTACAACCCTCTGAATTTCAGTATCTTAAGGCTGCTAACCAGATTTTACATGATACTGTCTAAACTTTACGTAAGCCACCAAAACTTTCCTACAATAAATGCTCAGCAAGTCTCATCCCTATAGCAGCCAGTAGCCTGTGCTGTGCTCATGTCCTTTCATTAGCTGTTTTTTCCCCTTTGGCTCACAGCAGAAACAAACAGTGAAGTCTTCACTAAGTGCCACTGTTTCCCCCTCTCCTCCGACTTCCTTTTCGTCTCTTAGTTGTCTGACAGGAGAGTCCTCCATGTGATAAAGCAAAAGCCCACAAGTCTGAAGGAGGATTCTTGGCTGCATGATCTCATCCCACTGAGAGAGCGGGAAGCATTATTTTTCCTGAAGTACAGGATGCAGATTTTGTTTTGGTTGTGCTTTTTCTTTTTCTGGGGATGGAAAGGTAATGCCCTGACTTTGGCACTAATATGTGTATAAACCATCTTAACTTTACAGCAGTAGCTGTGTGATTTGTACTGAGAGCCTGTGTTTGTGAACATTGTTTATATTAATTTCCTTGTGCCTCTTGCTGTGGCTCACGTGTGCTCTTCCTTTTCTCAAGAAACTCAATCCTTTGTCCTTTCTCTCTGTTTGGAAACTAATGGGAAGAACTGGCTGAGTTGAACACCCTGAGCACTAAAGCCAGACTGTCCACATAAGCAGTGTGACCTGTGCACCATATTCAGCTCCCATGTACTCCTGTACAATGTACTCATGACAAGAGTTTTTGCAATTTCATTCTGACTCCCTCCTCACCGAGTGCAAAAGGTTTTGCTTTTTGAATGAGCAGCAGTTCAGTGCTTTTTTGATGCGTGGTCTCACATCTCATTTGCCAGTCCTGTTCAAATGACGTGTCTCCTTTCACTGCTCTGTTTTGAATGAAATGAAGGCACCACAGAGAAAGGATCTTTAATTACATTATGTCTGTGTAGGTTCAGGAAAGGACGAAGAAAGCATTCACCTTGGTATCTTCAAACTCTTAAATTCTAGTATTTTTGCTTAGGCTCTCTGAGTAGTCACTGCACTTTTAACAATTGCAGGGTACCACGTTGGTGGGTAACTGCTTCTGAAAGTGCAAGATTCCCAATTTATCTATGCTGGCTGAAGAGGCTGGTAGAAATTGTAGGTTCGTCCATGATCTGAGCCCCTTCCCCATTGCTTTCACAGGTAGCTGCTAATGGGAGACAGCACTGAGACTTGTAAATCCTGTGTTTGGTTTCAGGCTGGAGGATAGTATGCTCTAGCTGTATGACTCCTGTTTCACAATGCAATTGCAAAGCTTCCTCTTTTGCTGCCTTTCTTGTTTGTGTCCTGTGAAATAATATGAAGTAATAAGCCATGAGGCTCTAGGACTGATTTTCAGCTGCTTTCTTGATACTAAACATAATGATGTTTTTAATCTATGGCCAGACTGTTTCAGCTCCACAGTATCATTTTATTTTGTTTTCATTTTACCCAACAGACCAGTTCTTCTCCCCATTCTGGACTGCCCAAACAAGTCAGGATTAAAACCTCCCAATCTGTGGGGGATGTGAACACACCTTACCAGCAGGCAGAGCCCCGAAGCAGGCACCTTTCTGTCAGTGAGTATTTCTGTCACTTTTTGGGGGGTGAAAATGTTCTTTTGGACAGTAGTATTTACTGTGTAGAGTTGATGAAAACCATGAGAAAATGAAAGGTCATTCTAGGACAAGGCAGTTCATGTTCAAAAGCTCCTAATACATTTGTAATAGAAAGTTTCAGAGTTCCTTGCTAAGCTGTTGAACAGCTGAGGAGCTGTTAAAGGGGATGTGCTAAAGCCAGATTCATTGAGGTTAGGAATTTGGAAAGCTTACGTGAGCCCGTGAAGCTTTTGTATTTAGATTGGCAATTTCACTTCATGAAATCTACATTTGATTTTTCTTTTCTTTTCTTTTCTTTTTTTTTGAACCTGTTCTTGTTCCTGGAATGAAGTGTTTTACTGGGAGCGCAGGAATTGCCACTGCTACCCACTGCCGACTTCCCTTACCTTCCACTTGTAATTACCACATCTGCAGCACACAGGGCAAATAGGACAGGTGACTGAGACAGCTGCACAGAAGAGAATGAAAGGAGTCAGTAGTATGTAATTCTGTCTCATTTCCTTTGTGCTTGTTAGCTTAGTGAGTTCAAGTTCAGTGGGAAGGTCCATGTAAGACTCCTGTAATGTAAATCTCACCCTGTAAGTTGACAGGCGTTGTCAGTTCTCTCTGACTGTGTGCATGATTTTGCAGGAAGAACTTTCTGACCATATGTGTGCACCTTACAGAACACAGGGTGCACCACGTAGTGCATGGGCTTAGAGCAGCCACGGGCATGCATTTTGATTTCCACTGTTTCCTGTGGTAGATTTGGCTGAGCTGCCTGATTTCTCTGTGGTATCTCGCTGTGTAACTGTGAAGCACTGTTGAAATCTGTGGTTGAAAGATGCACAAAGCTGTGATGGTTTTCTATGAAAAACTAAAATGCCTGAAGCTCCTGCAACTTCACGGTTTAGAATCATGGTGTGAGACCTCAGTAAGGTGTGAAGGAGCAAAAAGGTGGAGGGCAATAACAGGGATCTGAAGGCTAGAGCCTGAGGTGGTAGTGTGTGGAAATGACTTTTGCCTTGGAAGTGAGAAAAGCTGAAATTTGCTGGAAGCAGAAGCAGAGCGTGGTTGCATTTGTTAGAACAGCTATTTTAGGGCCTGTCAGACCCAGTGCTGCAGATGACAGGTGCTGCAAATCACGAGGGCAGTACTGGGAGCTGGGAATCTCAGAGCTGTTTTGTTTCCAAGTTCTACAGCAGCTCCCTCTATGGAGGAGGAGTACTTCAGTTTGATTAACTGTAACCTTCAGGCATGATCTTAACTGGATTTTGGATTGATGTTAGTGAAGCAGTCGTACTGTCAAATAACAAGTGCAGTTAAATTGGAGCCAGCAGTCTCTCTCCATGCTGGTGGCTCTAAATTCAAGTTGGATCCACGCTGCTGTGACCAATGCGTACTTGAGTGGAAGCTCAGTAGAGAAGGGCTTGAGAACTAAACCAGTCGTTCTCTGTTCTAGACTTGTCTAGCAAGTCTGCTTGCATCTTGTCTAGAGTCTGCCGATCCCCTTTTACACGGTTTACTCTTACGAAGTAGCAAACCAAATAGAGAAGTGCTGAAATGATCAGAAATACGTCTGAAACTGGTACAGAAAGGCTTTTCCCATCCATTATAGTCTGATGTTAATCTGCGTAAAAAGAGCAACATTCCTTGCTCCTATAAGGCAAGCAGTGGTATCCATGCTTGTCTGAACACCACGTTTCTTTTTTCAGACAGATTCAGTGCCAGAAGCATTTCATTTTTAAAAATCTTGTTCTTTTGTTGGCATGCTGAGGTATCCAAATAGTGACGCCAAAGCTAACAGACCGTACGGAGTGTCTGTCGTGGGTAAATGGTGTGGTAATAAGGGGCCTCTCCTGTGTCCCTGTTGCTCTCTCCTCTTATGCCAGCTAATGGACACTTTCTGATTAGCCTGTCATCAATTAAGAAGGCATTGGTTTTATTTTCTGAACATGTCGTGGTTCCAGGCTGCTGCCTTGGTAAGAGATCCAGAAGGGTTCCAGTTCTGTTGGAGGTCTGGTGGTAATTTGGCAGTAGCTCAGCCTTAAGTTAGTTCTTTCTTCCTCTTCTTTTCCTATCTTTAATTTTGGGGAAAGAATGTACTCCTGTTTTCTAGTGTTTCAAACAGAGATAATTCTCTATTCGTAACACATCATGAAATGAAAGCTGAGAGCAGCATTCAGCAGAAACTGTTTGCATGCAGAATATGTGTCTGTGTAGTTCCTGTCTTCTCAAGTGGACGGGCCTCGAGCCTGCTGTCACCAATCCGGGGGAAGTAAAGATAAGTTTTATTATGGAAAAAAAAAAAGAGAGAGAGAGAGAGAGAGAAAAAATAGTTGCTAAGCATTCTGGCAGCACTTGTGTTTTTTCCACTCGCTTCCTTTGATATACATTGATTTAGTGCCGACTTCCTTTTCCTGCCCAGCAATGGGGGCCTTTCCACAATAGCAGCTGAGCTGCTGCCAGCAGGACGTGGGCTTCCTTCAGCCGTGGCACTGGGTCGGAAGGAGTGAAAGTATGCTCCCATGCCTCAGTGCAGCCACACAGCACACTCTCCTGTTTATCTCCCCCCCAGTTGGTTTGTGCTGCCACGTGAGCCCTGCAGAGCTACTCGGAAAATCAGGTGGCAGCTCGGAGCTGCAGATTGCCTTTTTGCATGCAAACCACCTCGTGCACCCACAGCCGTGGCAGTGTGTTTTTTTCCTTTCATTCTGCCCTCTGAAAGGTGTATGCAAGGTTTGCAGTTTGCTACTGCCAGTGTTTGCCTTCACTCTTTATTATAATAATTTCTGTTGAAAATATTTTTCTTGGGAGAGTATTTGCTGATCCTTACCCATCTTTCACAGCACCTGAGTACACACACTTAATTAAAGACAGTGTTGTAAAGAGCACAGCTTGAGGGCTGATCTTCAAACTCTGCCTCTGACTTCACGGGTGACCTTGGGTAGGTTGGCTGGACCACAGAGTTTCTTGGAGCTCACATTTGAACTTGGTGGGAGCTGCAGGTGGATCCGTTGCTGCAGAAGAGGATTTTATATTCCTTCCTGTTTCTAGTGTGTCATCTTTGAGATCCACAAGGGAAAAACAAGCCCCAGGTGTTACATTTCTCTCACAACAGAATCTCCTTAGGCAGCACCAAAACAGATGAGTAAAATGTTTTTCTCATCTTTGGGCCTCTAAACACACAAAGCGTCCATCTAGCTATCTCATCTGATCAAGGGAAATTGCAGAGTTGATCTCCGTGTGTTCTCACCCAAGTTAGTCATGCTACTTCAATTTCACAGAATAAAACCAATTTTAGGGTTGTTTGCAAAGTTGACAGTCCTCCCATGGGATATTTTAATTTACAGTATCAGTATGATTAGCTCAGCTGATGATGACTATGAAAGAGAGTTCTGACACTCAAAGTAGATGATGAAGTTATAGCCAAGACAAAAGGCTTGTTGCTCTGACAAGTGATTTGGTTAGTGCATATGGGTGAAGTTCATGCCCCTGTTAGAAAGCCAGGAGTTTCTGAAGTCCTCTGCCTTCCCTGAGGTACTGAGCTTACGCCTGGAGGGTTGAGCAGAAGAGGTTAGAGATAGGTAACTGCTCTGTTAGGAGCTTTACCAGCAGTTTTCTTGTAGTGTCTTAAATGGTAGCACAAGTGCTCATTCAGTATTTTGTTTTTTTGCATCACACCTCCTGGTTCCACTTCTATCCATGCTATTATGCTCACTCCAGAGTTGCTGTAATCGTAGCTGCTGTAAGGTGCTGCTCATAGAGGCCTGGCGTCAGAGATGAATATTTGGATTTTGTGTACATGCATGCGTCGCCTCATTTCGGTAATCACCAAAGTCAGGCACATCCTTCTTTCTGGCCCAGGTTCCCAGAACACAGGCCGGAGTTCTCCACCTCCTGGGTACGTTCCTGAGAGGCAGCAGCGCATCGCTCGGCAGGGTTCCTACACCAGCATCAACAGTGAAGGCGAATTCATCCCCGAAACCAACGAGCAGTGTGTGAGTATGAACGTCAGGGTAAAGAAAAGTAAATCCAGCTGTTGAAGAGTTTGCTGCTGCTCTCTGGTCTCTGTTTTTCACTCCTAGAACATGCAGTAGCTGTTAGCAGCTGCTGTTGTTTCCTTGTTCATTTATCAGTGGATAGTGGGATTGAGTGCATTCTAAGCAAGTTGCACAGAATGGCCAGGGTTGGAAGGGACTTCAAGGATCTGAAGCTCCAACCCCCTGCCACATGCAGGGCCACCAACCTCCCCATTTCATAGCAGCCCAGGCTGCCCAGGGCCCCATCCAACCTGGCCTTGAACACCTGCAGGGATGGACGGGGCATCACAGCCTCTATGGGCAGCTGTTCCAGCACCTCACCACTCTCACAGCAAAGAACTTCCCCCTGACATCCAACCTCAATCTTCCCTCCCTCAACTTCAAACCATTTCCCCTTGTCCTGCTGTTATCTCCCTTTTCACAGAGTTGATTCCCCTCCTGTCTGTAGGCTCCCTTTAGGCACTGCAGGCTGCAATGAGGTCACCCCACAGCCTTCTTTTCTCCAGGCTGAACGAGCCCAGCTCCCTCAGCCTGTCTTTGTAAGGAGGTGCTCCAGTCCCCTGATCATCTTTGTGGCTCCTCTGGACCCTCTCCAGCAGCTCTCTGTCTTTTTTGTGCTGGAGGCTCTAGACCTGGACACAGTGCTGTAGATGGGGCCTCATAAGAGCAGAGTAGAGGGGGACAATCACCTCCCTGTCCCTGCTGGCCACCCCTCTGCTGATAGAAAGTTTGCTGGTGACACTAAGCTGAGTAGTGCAGTCGATGTAGTAGAAGGAAGGGATGCCATCCAAGGGGACATGGACAGACGTGAGCGGTTGGCCCACATGAGCCAAATGAATTTCAACAAAGCCAAGTGCAAGGTGTTCTACCTGAGGAAGGGAGGGCTCTAGGAGACCTCAGTGCAGCATTCCAGTACTTAAAGGGAGCTTATAAACAGGAGGGAGAATGACTTTTTACACAGGGAGATAGTGATTCTGCAAAAGGGAGTGGTTTTAAACCCAAAGAGGGAAGATTTAAGTTAGATGTTAGGAAGAATTTTTTTACCCAGAGTGTGAACAGGCACCAGAACAATTGCTCCAGAAAAGTTGTGGATGTCCCATCCCTAGAGATGTTGATTGGATGGGGCTCTGGTGGTGGCAGCCAGCTCACTGCAGGAGGTTGGAACTAGGTGATTTTTAATGTCCCTCCCAAGCCAAGCCATTCTGTGATTTACCATACATCAAGCTTGTTTTTAGATGTGTGCATTCAGTGCCTTTGTTGAGCTGCCAGCAGCAGTTGTCATGCACATTGGTCATTGTCTCCCCACCTCTGAATGAACCCTGCAGTGTTGGTGGTGTTACACATGTATGCTCAGGTTTCCTATTATCGGGCTCATGTTGACCCTCTTGCATTTGAAACTGCAGTTTCCATTCAGAAAAGTAGGAAGTAAGGCCAAAGGGCAGCTTGCAGGTGGAGACAGCAATGCAGTAGCACCAGCTGAGGCCTTCTGTTCCTGAAGTCACTTGGGATGGAACCCAGCACACTAGTTGATTTACTTTCGTTTTCACAGCAGAGTTCTTTATCACCTAAAGCAAAGCAGTGGCTCAAATTTGATACGTGCTTAACGGTTTATGTGGAAGATAGAGGAAAAATGTACATTCTAAATAGCTTCCCTCTTCGATTGGACATCCTCCAGGCAAGCAGTAGTAGACTCTAATCATCATGCACAGGCTCTTTTAGGCATCAGACTGATGTTGCCATGTGATTTTTTTCTGTTGCAGATGCTTGACCCTTTAAGCAGTGCTGAGAACTCGGTGTCAGGAAGCTGTCAGTCCTTGGACAGGTCAGCAGACAGGTACAAATGTATGGGCTGGTAGGAATTCATGGGCTTAAAGTCAATATGCCAGTTGTACTTATGCAAAAGTGTGTTTTCCATCTCAAATTTTCTTGGAGAGATCTAGGAAATTATTTCCTACCTACAGCCCAAAATATTTCTTAAAAAGAACTAACTGCATTTCAAGTTGGGTTTATTTTCTGGCAATGCTTTTGCCCAGCAAACTGGTGCTTGATTAGCTCTATGTTATAAATACAGAGTTCTGAAGTGTGCCGTTTGTGTGGAGCCTAGAGTCAGAGAACATCTGGCTTCAAGGTATTTAAATCATTGAGACAAGGCTCTACTTGTTCATTTAAAAAAAAAAAACAACAACCTATTCTAAGGTTACACAAATATATCATTACATTAAATTCCAGTGTTCTGCAAGATACTGTATTAATTCCAAAGATAAATGGGGAGTCTCTTTGCTGCTGCTGATAGTCTGATGGTTTAGATTTTCTCTTCCTTTCCTTTGCTGTTGCTGCTGCCCATCTCATGCAGGTATTGGGAATAGTGCTGCCTTCGAATATTTAAAGTGTGCATGTGAAAGGATATGAATTTTTAAGTGCTTCACATATAAAATTAACGATTTGAAATAACCTGAAATTCGTAAACTGAAATGTCCTACTTAGGTTTATATATGGGCCCCCCCTAAGAGAAGTGTTCTTTGTCAAAGACCAGTCACTTTCTCAGTCTGGGGAATCTAAAATCCACAGAATTGAATTTCCCCTCGTGCAGTCTTTGATTCTGTGAGGGAAGGAAGGGCCCTCACAACTGAAGCTGTTGGTGAGCAGCCATAGGTCCCATTAGCTTGAATAGCAACTGTGGCTTTCCAGCACGTGTAATTTAGGACTTCTGCAAGTTTTTACGATTTCCCAAGCTGATTCCTGTAGGTAGTGTGTGCCTTTATGTTGGATGCCTGAGCATCCTCCACATAGTTTATCGAGTCACAGAGACGCAGTTACAGTGTGTGAAGGAAAGAAGAATTCCAGATTGTTTCTTGTTGGGGTGGGTATCATCTGGGGAAGCTGCTGTTTTCCTTTGTGTAGTAGGAAAGGAATCTCGTGTGGGAGCCTAAAAGCTGTATAAGGCTCGCTCCATTTGCACTAGTTTACAAAAGATGCAGATAACGTGGCTCTGGCACAGACTGAGTTTGTGTCATCTCTTAAGAGTTGCTAAAGGCCTGCTGCCAAACGAGCAGCCGTAATTAGGCTTGCCTTGAGGAGTCCTGCTAATCAAGGAGTAGCATGAGGGATCAGTATTATCAGCAACATTTGTGGTTATGTTCATCTGCTGCTGGTAGAGAGAAAAGTGAACAGAAGTTTGCATGACAGGAACTCTTAGCCATCGTGTAAACTCATAGGACAACAGTCCTCATTCTCTGCTGCCCCATGAGCAATGTGCTACAGCCTGTATTCTGTTTCTCTCTTCCTCTTAGTTTTGGATTTAACCTTCCATGTTGCATGGCTGCAGAAAAAAGCACTGGGTCTCAAACCACAGGCAGAGAACCACTGATAAAGTGGCACAGATTGAACAGAAAGGATGACTTCCCACATTGGGAAACAGTCAGGGGCTCAGCCTGATTTTGTTTTAACATGAAATTATTGCAAGGACTCTGATGTGAGAATCAGTGCTACCGATGTGCAAATGTATTAGCTTGTGTTTTCAAGTCCTTGCAGGTTTCTCTGCAGTAGCTAGCAAAACTTACTCTTGCCTTCTTTCTTTAATAGTCCCTCATTTCGGAAGTCACGGATGTCAAGGGCACAAAGCTTTCCTGATAATAGACAGGAGTTCTCAGGTATGTCAGTGTCCAGTATGAAGAGCACTTGATCCAGACACGTTCTGCTGTCTGCTGGCTAGCCTCCAAGTTTGCTGCAATGATAAAAATGGAAGACCGGGGGATGCGTTGATTAAAAAACTCGGAGCTCATTTGTTTCTTACACCTTCCTAAAAATTCTGCTGCCACAGGAAAATTCTGTCCTTAGAAAACGGGTTCTTTTTGGAAGAGCCTCACTCCTCTTTTTGCATCGACTTTCAGACCGTGAGAATCAGATCTATGACAAAGCTGGGAAAGGTGGCACCTACCCGCGGCGCTACAACGTCTCCATGCAGCACAAGGACTACAATGACGGTGAGTTGTTTTCAGGCCTTCTTTTCCAGTCTTGAAAAAGAAACTGGAGCAATGGCAGCCTCCAGGGACAAGCACAACACCTAGCTGAAGAGCCTTGGAGTGCCCTGGGCCTTGCAGGTAGTGCTGGAGTTATTGCAACCATGCACAGTGCCACCTTTTCAAAGGGAAGATTTCTTTGTTTACTCTGGGCTTACTGCAGGCACCCAGGCTGATCAGTGAGTGGTGGGGTTGAGCAGTGCTCCAGTGTATTCCTACCTCAGGGATTCATCATGCTTCCTAGTTCACAATGCACATGTGCTTCTGAGTCTTTAAAATGAAGATACCAGCATTGTAGAGTCACGTCTCTGCTAATTGGCTTTATGGAAATTAATTTCTCCAGGTTCTATAAGGAGCACAAGTTCTCACAATCTTTGTCTGCGTTTTTTATTTGCAAGTCCAGGTATCTTGTCTAGAAAGTCATTCTGTTTGTGTGGTTGTTAGCAAACCTTGGTGTTTGTATGGTAGCTTGTAGACCAGATTTTTGCTGTGGAAGGCAAGTTCTGTTTAGGTTGACATGTAAGGCTGCTTGGAAGCAGTACTGCACTGAGTGCATTACAAAACATCTCCCTTCTGCTTTGGGGGAGTGGTCCAAAGCAGTGCTGAACATCAGATCCATTAGATTTATGTGTGCTGTCTGATCAGCAGTAGATTCTACTTCATGGGAAAAGAACAAAACTTTTTTTTCTATTACTTCTCTTCACTGCTTACCTTCTGGCCATTGCTATCCAGTTGTAAGGATGTCATTTAGAGATGTTACTGTTCTTCTCCAGGTCGGCGGACGTTTCCCCGGATACGGCGTCACCAAGGGAATCTTTTCACTCTGGTACCTTCAAGTCGTTCCTTAAGCACCAATGGGGAAAACCTGGGCCTGGCATTGCAGTACCTGGACTCCCGGGGGCGCCTGCGGAGTGCTGACAGTGAAAATGCCCTTGCTGTGCAGGAGAGGAACATTCCCACTAAATGTAAGTGATCACCTTGATGCTGGAGGAAGGCTGCTGGGCCTACGGGCAAGAAAGTCTGCTAGAGATTAACTCCAGATCCAATTTGATCGTAGCTGGATTTTTAAGAAGCCATTCCAAACCACACAGTCGTGTGGCTCTGTTTTAAGACCAGTCTGACTCACTTTTGAGAGGTCTTTTATTTTTTTCCTCAGTTGAGTTCGTTTAGAAGCTGGTGGTAATCCTTGGTCTAGCAATGTCCAGGAAGGCAAGTACTGCTATTGAAGCTTGTCTAGATCTGTGTAACCAAGCTGTTTTCTGCTACTTCCTACTTTGGTTGTAAGATTTAACAAATCGTATTACAGCTCACAGTAATGTGAGCGTGTAAGAAAGATTTTGGGAGTTGATTGTGCTTGAAATAGTTGTCAGGTAAGAATATGTAGTCTTGCACTGGGAACTGGCCTCTCCTCTAGAAAACACTGGAAATTCAGCTAGGAGATAAAAAGGTGTAAGTTGATTGATCTAGATGGCATATGGGATTCTTAAAACTGCCAGACAAACTTATTTTGTGAATACATTAACATTTATAGTCAAGATTGCATATTGCAGTTACTTTACTAGTTAAGGACTGTATTTATTTCACTCGCTCCTTGGTAAAAAGATTTGCTTCTATGTTAATAACATGCCTAAGTTGCTGTTTGGGGATCTTTAAGTTATTAAAAAATAATAATAAAAGAAAGAAATAGGGCATAAGTCATTACTAATGAACTTGAGCCATTCCGTACAGTAATTTAAAGATCAAAATAAAGACATAAAGCCAGCAGAATAAGCAACACACTAAAACACTGATTGGCAGTAAATCTGATTAAATTAGACATGGCAGAGCTAATCTCTGAGCTCTTCTGCGTTGCCTCACCATCCAGATGGCTGGTTCCTGTTTTTAGTTTTTACAATTTCTTGTTATATACAAAATAATTGGATGCATTGCACTGCATGTGTCTGGTAGTGCCATTTTCAGTGTTAGTTACAGCAGTGGCCTTTGAATAATATGCTTTGTTATCAAGAGCAGTCTGGAAAACTGGGCTCAAGGCTTTCTGGGTCAGGAGACTGCCACCTGTACAATAAGCTGGGCAGCACAGCAGAGCAAGGGCTGATAATTCCCTGCTGACAGCCTCCTGCTGGGGGTGCTGGAGGTGGCTGCTTTAGGTGGTTCTCTTGTGTATTGTTTAGTCTTAATTGTTCAGCTGGTGATGAAGGTACCTGCACTGTCCTCACGTTCTGGTTCCTACCATACCAGATTTTGTGGAGAATTATGACTTGTAATTTTTCTGCTCTAGAGATAGCCTTGCAATAAAATCCTTCATGCAGGAGAAGGGACCTCAGACTAAGCAATAATTGGCCAGGTACTCGTAAAGGATGTCCTTCAAGTTGTCCCAGAAGCTTAACAGCCATTCTTAGCTGGATGGAATTGATGGGACAAGGCTGATCCAGTTCTTCTCATCTAATGCATGCAGTAACTACAGATCAGGTGTCAGAAGGTCGTGTTTAATTGCTGCTCCATCTCTTAAGATTGTGATGTTGTAGAATCCACCCTGCTGGTGGAATGAAATTTCATATTCATGCCCATTTAGGGAATAACATAAAATGGTGTGTAATGTGTTTCTATAAAATGTTTCACCATTTCTTTTTAATGGGACACGGAGGGCCTGGGGATCTGAGTTTGGAGTTCTGCCACTCTGATCCTGGGAGAGTCCCTTTTATGTCCACTTCTTCATCTGCAAAGTACGCACTTCAAGCTCTCTACAGTGGGAATTGATCTTTGAAAAGCTCACCGCTGTCTTCAAACAGCACAGCCAAAAAGAAGAACTGTTACTTCTGCTCCTTTTCAGCTCCAAGCGCTCCGATAAATTGGCGACGAGGAAAACTGCTGGGCCAGGGAGCCTTTGGTCGTGTGTATCTGTGCTATGATGTGGACACGGGCAGAGAGCTGGCAGCTAAGCAGGTCCAGTTTGACCCAGAGAGTCCTGAAACGAGCAAGGTAATTCTCTTTGCAGCTGCTAAACTTTACTTGCAGACTTTGTAATTTGTAAACAGACTTTGTGCCTGTATCTGTCTGTCCTCGAAAGCTGGCATCACTATTCAGTTTGTGCAAGTGTTTCAAGTCACGTGGAGAGGAATAGGAGTCATTTAAAAATTACTTTTCCGTATTATTAACTTGAGCTTGCAACTAAAATCCATTTTCTGGCTTCGCTTTTGGCTCTCTGTTCACAGCTTTTTGGTTTGATGCCAGGTTACTTGAGGAATACTAGACTGCCCTATGTTCCTGGTTAGACATGGAGTGTGATTGAAAGTAAATCCAGAAAGAGTAGGATTTTTCTCTTTTTTAAATGACAAAGGTGTGTGTGCTTAGAAAACCCATTTCCTAGCTTATATGCTAGTCCCTGCATCAGTTGTACTAATTACGAGCTGCCTGTTTCCACTACTGAGTTCTCCTTATCCTCAAAATAAACTGAACTGTAAGCTAATAGGAACATAATATGACAATGCTGTAGAAACAGTGGAGATGGGAAAGGGCACCTTGAAATTATACACTAGCAAACAGCTTTTGCACAGTGAATACAAATGAGTTGGCTGTTGGGTTCTCCTGTAGTGTTTGAACAACATACCCTGTTTCCCTGTGTTAAACAAATCCACTCTGAGTCGAAAGAACTAATCCATGAAGATTTAATTATTCTGGTTTCGTGTGGAATATTGGTGCCAAGAGAAGGCCTCAGTTGATGCAGTGTAAGTTATACATGTCTCTGCTGTAAATCTGTCAGTAAATCTGAGCCAAGGGAGAACAGGCTGGGACATACTTTGAAGGCACTGAAACTCCAGACTTCAAACTATCAGTTGGTCCCATTAAGCTACTTGCAGCCAGCTCCATGCTCTTGAAGAGCTGTATTCTCTCCTGAGGTGAGAGAAGCAATTCTGGCAGCTTTTAGTGACACAGGGCTGGAGAGAGTTAAGTGGGACTAATTTGGGGAAAGCCATCATTCCTTTTTCCATAAATCCTCCTTCTCCAGCACCTTTGATGTACAGCCTGCTCATTCCTTGGATTCAGCACGAACCTGATACTTTTCCTGGGCAACAAACATTTCTGATTCAGTCTGAAATTGTTGGATAGCCTTTTTGCCTTTGCACTATGATACCCTGTTGTCTGTGGCAAGAATAGAGCAGAGAATTAGTTTCATGTGCATGCCTGCAGATTCTTTGAAGTAAATAAGAGGGGAAGCAGTTTCTAAGGTTGATCCAAATAAAATCATCAGCATGAATCAGTGCAGGACTAGGTGAGAAAAGAAGTTAGGAGCTCTTAGCAGCCATATTCTAGGTATCTCATGGGTTCAGGTTCATACAGAAAGATTCCTGTCCATTCTGTAATGATCTATTTAGACCTTTTTCATAGCTGAAATCAGAGCTCGCTGCCATCAGCTTAGTGCTGAGGACTGAGGTTGTTTCTGTACTGTCCCTGAAGAATGCTTTCTGTCACCTTGCCTAAAGCCATTCAGTACACAGCTGACAGATTCAAGACAACAAAGAAAGGTTTTTTTCTGGTAGTAAATTCAAAGATGATACTGCCTCTGTTCTATTTCTGCACCACTATTACCAGCTTATTATACAGCAAAGGTTAACATGAAGCACTGGTATTGTTTGCCTTTCCCATGAGCTAGGTGAGCCAATGTCATGCAATAGGCTGCATCACTGTAGCAGTGGTCTCATCCTGCCAGTGACGTGGATGGATTTATTGAGATGAAATATTTCCTGGGGCTGGAATCTTATTTTCTCCTCCAACGTCCGTAGGAAGTGAGTGCCCTGGAGTGTGAAATTCAGCTGCTGAAGAACCTCCAGCACGAACGTATTGTGCAGTATTATGGATGCCTGCGGGATCGAGCAGAGAAGACCTTGACCATCTTCATGGAGTACATGCCAGGGGTGAGAGCTGACACAAAGGCAGATGAGTGATTTTGTTGGTCAGGACGAAAGTTTTGCTTCAACTGTGTGATCCAGTGTGTCTTGTACTTGGAATACATTCTCTTTGTCAATCACTAAAGCCAGTTCTGTCCCTCCAGTGTAAATTCGTTCTGCCAAAGTAATTGAAAGAACTTGAGCCAACTTGTAAATTGGGCTAACTGAATTAGCAAAATCATGCACTGCAGCAAACTAGCATAAAACTGACCCTGCAAAAGGGAAACCTTCAACCTGGATCTGTCTGCTGAACTGATTTGTTGCTTGTATCCACAGACATTTGTACCAACACAGCGAAGGGATGCAGAAAGCACACACACTCCTCAAGATATTTTTGCTGTAACGTCCTTGCTTTTCTCAAAAGGGGTTTCACAGAGCAAGAGGTTCTGAGAGCCTCACAAAAAAAGGCTTTAGAAGGGGCCAGAATTCCTTCATGTGCTGGTTGGGTAGATAACATGGTCTCAGCTCTGGGAATTGAATGGAGACTGCAAGATTTGTGGTATGTTTTTTCTTTACCAGTCTGTTCTGCTTGGTTTTGGCACAGGGGTCAGTGAAGGACCAGCTGAAGGCATATGGTGCTCTCACAGAAAATGTAACTCGGAAATACACTCGCCAGATTCTCGAGGGAGTCTCATACCTTCACAGCAACATGATTGTGCATAGGGACATAAAGGGTGAGATCAGCTGGTGATTTATGGATACGCCACGTGCTAAAGGAACTCAGAAAAAGAAACCAAATGTTAAGGATTCGTTATCCTCGTTGGGGCTTCTGAACGTTGCTTTGTATCAGTATCCATTTGTCTTGTGTCCTGACCAGGCCTTAGGGAAGGGGGTGTTGTGGGCTGGGTGAGGGGGAAGTTGGGATATTTCCTGCACAGAGCCTGAGAGCAGGGCAGTTGGTGTTTATAGTAAGGAAGACTAGGAGCCTTTAATTCGTTCTTAGGACTGCTCAGCTGCAACTCCTCCTCTTTCTCTGTCTCCTCAGCAAAATGAGGTTAAGTTGCCTCCTAACTTTCACTGCCCTCTTAACACGTTTGTTTCCTTGTGGATTCTCTTCTAATTTCCTTTCTGACCAAAGTACTGTTTCTCAGCTGATAAACATACAATTGCTGCAAGAGCCCTATGCCTTCCCTTGTCAGTCTTGCTTACCTCAGGCTCTTGTGACCTGCTCTGTCTAAGAGACCTCTGTAACCTTCCTTGTAGAGCTTGTGTGATTAGAATTTAGTCTTCCTCTTCCCAGTATAACCTGATGGAGCCAGGCAGTCTCCTTAAGAGTTAATGTCAACACTTGTGGCACACACCACACAATTTTTTTTCTGTGCTCTGGGGGGACAGAAGCATTGCTTGCTGCAAGAAAAATATCTTCTTGTTCCTGCCTATAAATCTTCATTGCCTTCCCTCTAGGGCTGGCAAAGGGAAATGAGCTGCTGATTCATGAATAACACCTTGTATACTGCTCACACGGTGTTCTATACCAAATGATTTTCTACCAATGGATTATTCACTAGTCTACACCTATCTTCTAAAGCAAACTGTTAATTTGTCTCCAGGGTGCAGGATGGAAAGTGTTGTTATTCTGAATTCAGCTCTCCCAGTGGGAAAGTGAAGTGGCAAAGCCATCTCAGAACACAAATTTTACTGGAGAGCAGACGAGTTCACATAGGCATATACCAGATAATGGCAAAAAAGAGTTCTTGATCCTATCGCAGCTTTGAAGGAAGGTTTGTTGTGTGTATGTCTCTAAGCCTTAGCTTGTATCCACACGTAAGGTATCCTCTTAGTTTGCTTTTTTTTCCCTCTGCGTTTCATGTTCAGGACCTCTGACCAAGTAAAGTGAAGATTGACTTGTTTATTGTAGGAGTTCAAAGTGGTTTAATTAGATACATCTGCTAAGCATTGCTTTCTGGTCAGCTGGGTATATTCATCAAAGCAGTATCCAAATGAAATCCTTTTCTACACAGCTATGTACTATCTAAGCCATTGGCCTAGGGGCCCTCTATAGTTTGTCTGAACTGTTTACAGGCAGTGTAACAATGACAGTGCTGACTCAGCTCTCATTTCCCCTCCCCCTTCACTTCCTTATGTTTTTCCCCTGAAGTTTTTCCCATTTGCAGCCATTAACAGTTGGCTTGTCTACAGCCTGAAATAAATGATGTTTAGCAGGTCACCTGGGGCTTAACAGGGAGAAAGCCTTAGCATGAGCCTGGGTATTTCTGGGTTAGATATCAACTCTGTAGGCTGCAGATCCAACAGCTGGATTGCATGAAAACAGCTGTCTCTATTCTTTTTCTTTTTTTCCTTCTTGTCCAGGAGCCAATATTCTCCGTGACTCTGCTGGGAATGTGAAGCTTGGGGACTTTGGGGCCAGCAAACGGCTGCAGACAATCTGTATGTCTGGAACAGGCATCCGCTCTGTCACTGGCACTCCATATTGGATGAGCCCAGAGGTGATCAGCGGAGAGGGCTATGGAAGAAAAGCAGACGTATGGTGAGGGTTTAACTTTCTGCCCATGGATCCATTTACAACTTTTCTGGACGCTTGCATTCTGTTAACTATATCCAAATTCAGATTTTGTCTGGATCAAAAGTGAGAGCAGTTTAAGGTGAACTGGAGCAGTTGGCTTGAACTTAAGGCTAGACCCACTGCAGACTTTGCCATGTCAATACACTACTGCTCATTTAATGTGCAGGTAAAATTTTCCATTCATTCCTCCCTCAAGCTGATAGCTAATTCTCTGACTTTCTGGCGTGAGGTTTCCACCCTTCTTATGTCCTTTATGTTGATAAGAGACTGAAGATTGTCTGGGGAGAGTCCATTCATTTTGTTGTAAAATGAGAGGTATGCTTATAACACTGGAAATGAAAGGAATAGAATTTGAGTATGTTGACAAAGCCTGAAAGGAAAGATGCCCAAACCTGGAATAACACACAAGATAGGGGCCAGATCAGAGGTGATCTAAAGTATGCGTGAATGGAAACTGTAGCCCTGCTATTATTGGCATAGCCAGGAAATATCCTCTACCGAAAGGAAAAAGCAAAATGGTCCTGTGTCAAAATGTTAGTTTTGGAGGCCTCAGGAAGGTAAGGTTATAAAACCAAGCTAAACGACAGCAGCATAAAGTATGTTTGTGTCTCCACAGTCAAGCAAGGCCTGTCCTGTTTCCCATACAGTCAGTGAATGGAAGCATAGCTGGAAGTTAACTTGTATGCAAAGAGTTAAGCTCTTCAGAGTCTCCCAGTTGGGATTCTTTGGGAGAGAATGGAATACGTGCCCTTCCCCCTGGATTGAGGGAGTTGTGGATTTCCTTTTGGTGCTGACAGTCCATTCCCATCAAAGAGATGCTGCCGTTGGCTGGGCTCCAGTTCCTACAATCCCAATAATTATTTGGGGGAGAGGGGGGGGTCAGAATTTTCCAGTGCAGTTTTAGTCCCAGGCTGGAAGCGTACGGCCGGGAGGCTCAAAGACGTAACAAATCCAGCCACCTGGCTTCCCGCCACTGCTGCAGGCCCCTCTCCAATTTTCTTTTTCCTAAACAGCAGAATATGTGAGCTATTTGTTATTGCTGGAGTGACTTGACATGAGAAACATTCCTGCTGTTTGCTGAATATCTTAAAGAAACCGGATCTGCTTAAACGGTATAAATCAGTCTAAACAATAATATATCCCTGCCTGCTCTTGTGCAAACCCCCAGCACTTCAGCACACATGGTTTGCATTTTCTGTACTCTCTTCTAGTAAGTCTTAAATGGCTGGAAATCAGTGTAAAAATTTCACGTTGGATTTTAAATGTTGTCAAAAAGTCATTTCTTGCATATTCATTGGATTTAATTCCTTTCCTCTCTTGTCTTGGCAAGTGATGCAAGTCTGCCTCTGAAAATGTCTTTTCTTTGTATTTCACTTCAAAAGAGGGTTTAGTTTAAAGGCAGAAGCAGCAATCCTGCTTATTTAATGGAGCGATGTGAACAGAACACAGAAGTGGGTGTTCAAGTTCACTATCTGCCTTTGCTTAATCTGTGGCCTTGAGGAAGCAGGTAATCCTTTTTGAGCAAAATACGGTCACTGTTGTACTACAGAAACCCATCTTTCTTGTGAAAGCATTGGTGTCACACTTGCTGCAGAAAGGTGGCCCAGCCACGTCCATCCTCACAGTCACATTTTTGCCTTGTGTTACCCTGCAGAGCCCCACTAACTTCACTAGGAGTTTTGCCTTCACACGGTGGTGCAGCTGCTCTGCTGACATTTTTAACCTGCTGCCTTCTGGGTTTACAGCAGTCAATTTTTGCCTGTCTAGGATGCTTGATTCCTTGTGGAGATGGCAGCTTTCTCACCTGGATGTTCTGAGACAATGCAATGGAAAGGGATTTTGCTGAAATGGCTCTGTGGGGCCAACCAGCTCTGTTTCATTCATAAAGGTGGACTTTATTCAGTTCAAAAGTACATTTTCTACCTTGCAACCCAGCAAGTGCTTTTCAGGCAGCAGCACGAGCAGCTCCTGAAATACCATTGAGGTCCAGCAGCACCTTTAGGGGCCTCTCGTGTGCACCCTTACTGTTAGTACAACTGCTTACTGAGAGTGGAGTGTGAGCAAAGGAGAGCTGGACAGATGGCATTTCACAGAGAACCACAGTGGAAACCAGCCTCCCTGTCTCAGCACTTTATTGCTAGCTTGACAGTAGTAAAGGCAGCAAAGTTGGCAGATCTGGCTCAGAATCTATGCACACATGGCACTCGCTGAGCACAAAGCCATTTTATTTCAGAGCAGAGCTGTACCTTGATGCTGGCTGCCTGGAAGTCCTCTCTGAACACTGCGCTTTACTGTATGAGTCGGTTCTCACTTCTTTTTTCCCATCTGCTTTTCCAGGAGCCTCGGTTGTACTGTTGTGGAAATGCTGACAGAGAAACCACCCTGGGCAGAGTACGAAGCCATGGCAGCCATTTTCAAAATTGCCACCCAGCCAACCAACCCCCAGCTCCCTTCCCACATATCAGAACATTGCCGGGACTTCCTAAAGCGAATCTTTGTGGAAGCCAGGCACAGACCCTCTGCTGAAGAGCTGCTCAGACATCAGTTTGCACAGCTCCAGTACTGAATTACCTCCCTTGCTAGCGGCTCCTGCTGGGCTCTCAGTGCTCCATCTGGTGTAGTTGCAACTGCCCATTGTGGTGCTGCGTCTTCAAAATGCCAACTCAGCTGTCCTAGTCCTTTGGGGAAGTTATACCAAGGAACCTAGGGTCTGCCCTTGTGCCTGATACCTTTGTTTGCTGGACTAATGTTTATTCTACCGACAGCTGTCCAAACAGAGCTGCGTTTTGCCCTAGTTACCTTGATGTGAAATTGTAGCTGGCTGCGTGTTTTCTGCGGGCCCAAGAGTGGGAATGTAAGAAGTGTCTCGCTGGTTGAACCTGGAAGAAATCTGAACCGGTGTGGGAACTGGAAGAGCTACCCTCTCCATAACAGAAACGTGCTACAGCTTTCAAGATCAGCTTTCTACAAGTGGTTACTCGTGTGGGTCACTGTTTTCCAGACTTCTAGGGCTTTAGAGATATCTGGAGTACATGAATCCAGCAAAAAGCCATGTGTCATTGAGCATGCGCTCGCTATATTATATATTTTTCTTCTTAAGTATTCAGCATCTGAAGGTGTTCAGAAAATATTGATTCAAAAGTATGTGAATAGTGTTATTTTATAATGAAACCATGGATTTGGGGGTGGGGGCGAGGGAGGTCTTTCTAGCTAAATGTCAGGATAATCAGAAATGTTGCAGCAGAATGCAATCACTCTAGAGCCTGAGAAAAGGGCTCTCCCACCAACATTGGAAAGTCCAGAGCTTGATTTCCAAGGCTTGATCTGTCCTAGCATTAAAGCAGTGTTGGTTCGTTTGTGCTCCTGGTTCATCTCCCTGAGGCTGCTGGGTCTGAAGAAAGCCCTGCTGGAAGGGAGTCGTGCAGAACAGCTTTTTGTTGCACCAATATTTTGGCTGGTAACATTTTTACTATCCCTTAAACCAAAGATAGTTAACCTGGTGCCTGGGAATTTACTTCAGGAAAAGCTTAGGTGTTCCTTTGGTGGCCCAGCCTAGTGGAAAATTAAGGAAATGGATTGCCTTTTTTCACATGGAGAATTTGCTGGACAGCAATTTTACTTGTGCACATTAAGTCAGAGTCAAGCTCATCCCCTCACGGTGTGCATTGTGTTCTATATGCATGCAGGTGTTCATTTTAAGGTTCCCATAAAATGTTTTGACCCCATTTAAATAAGCTTTTGTACAGATTAAGTCAGTGGAACAAGGAGAACACTTGTAATGCTAGCAGATGTCTGAAACTATCTGACCAAGAGGAGAGTTACAGAGATCCCCATACAGGCATATTACAAACGGATACATCCAAGCCATTCTGCATTTGTGTGTAGCACACCTCTGGTAACAGAGTTCCTGATGGCTTACTGCCCTCAAATCCTGCATTGGGACACCAGTGGTCCTTATTTCACACAGGAGAGCAGCAGCTTTTAAGTGCTGGGGGTTCCTGTGTTAATTAAAAGTGTCCTGCATGAAATAAAACTAAGAGAAGCAAGCAAATTACTAGCTGAAGTATTGCTTCATAGAGCAACACTAAAGGTGTTCTCTTGTATTGGAAACCATTTTCCAAAGGGCCCACATGCTTTTCTCTTCCCCCAAAAATCCTTGAAAGTTGCTTCATGATGCAGCAAAATTAACAAGAATTCATGTTAAGCTCTTGACAGGATAAAGCAAGTTTTAATGTGAGCTTAGGATCCTTGAACACACCACGAATAATAGGATATTGAATTAGAAGAGGGGAAAAAAAAAAAGAAGAAAAAAAAAAGCCTGGAAAAGATTTAACAATCTTGTTTTTTTTCTGTGCCAAACTCAGAGCAATATGTAATGGGTGGAAGCAAGTTAGTGTTGGTTTCACTTTCGGGCTCTCCTGCACTGCTACAAGGATGCACTGTTTCAGTTTCAGGCACTTAGGGGGATTTTATTCTCATGAAAGCCCTTGTTCTGTAATTTATTGAGTGAGAGCACTTCTATTGATCTCCTTAGAGCCTGGAACTTGACTCCAAATTGTCCAACACGTGGCCTGTCTTTCGGCCTGCACTTCACTATTGCTTGCACCAGAGGGAAGTGAGGGCATGACGCTGCTGTTCTGTTCTGGGGAGCATCTGACACCACTTGGCTGCAGTGTAAATGGCTTCAGAGGGATGCCAAGGCCTTCCTGCAGCCTTGACAGGAGTGGTCAGCAGTCCTATGCGGCCCGGTAGCACTCTTCAAGCCTTGCAACTACAAATATACCAAAGATTGGAATCTTTAATTACCCCCCTTGAACCTGCAGATGCACAGGAGCAATGTCGATCCTTTCCACATAGGCTTCTCTCTTCCCTTGGCTTGTCCTCACCAAACAGAGACCTCCTTCCGTGGTCTTTCCTTGCTGTCCCACACATTGTGATTTGGGAGAATAGGGCATGAGGAAATGGTGTCACTTTTAATATTTCAAAGCAGCGAAATCCTCAGGATCTGTTGTGGCTTTTACCTCATACGCATCATGGAAGGCTGTTCCAGAGCAAAGCAAAGAGCATCACGGACTGATGGGCTCAGTCCTTTCCCTGCCAGAGCTTCTGGTCCTTCCCACCACCTCTGCTGAAATGTGCCTACTCCGTGTATACACTTGTATTCCAGTCTGTATTAATGAAAGCCAATAGCAATCGTACAGCGACAGAGAACATGGGGTGCCAGCTTGGACTTCTTGTATTCCAGTCCCTGACCCAATGCCACCCGTTCGGCACAGGAACAAGCCAAAGCATTACTTGTGTGTTTGGAGATGCACTTTTATGAATGTAGTTTATATCGCTCTTTTTTAGCTCTTTTTACATCATGTAAACGGTGATGCCTCATACTTTTTTTTTTTTTTTTTTTTTTTAATTTATATCGTAAAAGATCATATTTGGTGATTTTTATATATATCGACTCGACTGTTATGGGGTTGGGGGGAGGATGGGAAATAAATTTGACGCCTTTATGAATTTAAAAAGGAAAAAAAAGCAGCTGGTTTTGCAGAGAATTCGCTGATGGTTTATAACGAGTAGAGCCAAGCCAAAATGCCTTCTTTGTTTCCTCACAGCCACCTTGATTATGGGGAGATCTGGATTCTGATGTCCACTGCTGCACTGAATAACCTTGAGGCTGGCATCTGTCCTGCAGTCTCTTTGCGCAGCCCTGAGAGCAAAAAAAATGCAAGTGGACGTAAATGTAATGACAGCCCTGAATTGAGTTACATCTGGCCTCTTGATCCTGGCAGAATTGGGAGAAAATGGGAATAAACTTGTTCAGAGGAGGGTGGCCAGGCTAACAGCAAAATGCTGCGTCCATTCCAAAGTCGCTTTGTGTTTTCAGCTGTTCCTGCCTGGGAGGGAGATGGAGCGAGTGCTTCGCACTGATGGGAGGTGCTGCACAAGTGGAGGAGATTCATATTTTTTTTTACCAAATGTATTTTATCAGAGTGCTGCTATCCTGGAACAGCCGAAACTTCGAGCAGGAAAATGTTGGAGGTTCCCATCAGAGAGGAGCTTTGGGAACAGAGGATTTGGCAAACTGTGAGCTTGTCAGGAAGCAAACTGTTGGCATTTTGGTCTTGGCGTGACGATTCTGTGCATTCCAGGTTACTGGCTTCTTCTCCAGTAAAATCTAATATTTGCCTATTCCGATTGCTGCACATTGCAGCAATTTTCACATTTTTGGAGTAATATTCCACAGGACTTGGAGATACTCCAAAGATTTCCCTTTGCCATTAATTACCAAAACAAACTGACCCAGAGGGACGTTGGTACCCGCTCAGGTGAGTGGGTATTTCCAAGTGCCAAGAGAGCAGAGATAATCTGTGAAAGCTGGGCAAGTGTGGGCAAAGCTCAGATATTTAAAGCTCTACAGGGAAAGGACTGGATCAGATCCCCATGACTGGTGCTTAGCTTAATACTGCTGGGTGGAAAGATTTTATGTATTTGAATATCTGCTGTCCTGTCACCTGTATGCCTGTGGAGCTGGGAGCATTCAGTGTTCTGTGGGTTAATGATATTTGGGCTTCATGTCTTTCAACCTTATTCAGGAGCAAATTGACCAGCAGCTCTGAATTCCCCAGCTAGGAAAGGCCTAAAGGTGGTTTTGAAATGTGGAAAAGGACACAGTTGCCCATCAGTGCCTGCCTGACATCAGCTGTGCAGAGCAGGCAGAAGTTGCTGTAACCTGGATTGTGCAGAAGACCTTGAACCAGTATCTATATGTACCGACCGGGGGCTTGCAGTGCAAAGCCAGGCCAATGTATCGTTTTATTTACAATAAAATTATCATTTATATGAAAGCCTTTTCGGTGGCTGTTTGCAGTGCAGCGTCCGTTACTTCCTATGCAAGCAGTGCTTCTGGATAAGTAGATGGGACAGCTAGTTTTAACCAAGGACCTTAACTGAAGGATGAATTCTGTGCTCTCAGGGATGCATTGTTTGGGACAGGTGGAGAAGTGTCCTATTTGGGAAGCATTGCTCCTTGGATCAGGTGAGTGTGTCCTCTACAGCGCTGCCTCTGGGGAAGGTCACCTCCATCCATTCTCACTCTTCCAAGAGGTAGAATGGCTCTGTCCAGATATTTTTTTTTCACTGCTGTTGTTGTTAGAGTGTAAAAATAGCGGTGTCTTCATTTCACCTTGCAGGAGGGGAGCTGGGCTGCTCCGTTGGCTCTGCACGTGGAGAGTCTGCGGATGGAGAGCAGAAGCTGAGCTTTGGATCGTGCTTTGTGAGTGAGTTCTTTAGTCCAGACGTGGGTCTGTAAATGGTCCTCATTCACCAGTGCCTACAGAGTTGGATTGTCATCAGGCAAAAGGGCAGCAAGACCACGAGGAGATGGTTTGCATGATGGTGTTTGCCCTGGCTGGGATGCTTTGCTTCAGCTGGGAGCTCGTGGGAACCCCAGAGAGGTTGCTAAGTGAATAACTGCAGCTCCAACTTGTGAAGCTCAGCCTGCTTGAAAGCATTTATTCCAAATATTCTGGAAGCTGTTCCTGAATTGTTTCTCCCTTGGCTTTGTTGTTGGGTCATTTTATAAAGCAAGGACGTGGAGAAGTAAAGCCAGTGGGCTTCAGGTAAATGTGAGACACCACGAGCTCTGCTGCCAGAATTGATGCCGTCCAGCAAAAGGGAGCTCTTGCATGGAGTGTGCAGAGGATTTGGGCAGGGTAAGCCTAGCTGTCCTGAAGTAGTGAGGGAATGGGTGCCCACACTTCCAAATATTTTCAGGCTTTATTTTTTTTCCAGCATGCTATCTTAGGAAAGGACAGAAATAGCGTTCCTGTAAAGTCAGTCTGCAGTGCTTGCTCAGATACTCATTTTTTCCTGGTACTGTTCTGTGTTTATGAGCTAGGCTTGAGTGCCATTGTCACTTGAGCAGTGGATTCAATGCCACTGTGGGCCCTTGAGATGCTGGGCCAGAGCCACGACTTTCCCTGCAGTCTCCCTTTCCCAGGTCATAGTTTGTTTCTATGTCCACCAAACACAGAAATATTTGTTAATGTTAAATGTGAACAACTAAGAATAAATGGGTTAACAGGCTGATGCAATAGGAACCCCTGCACGTGAAACAAGTACATGTGTGCCTCTTGTGTGCTCTTCCAAAACTGATGAGAAGCAGACAACTGAAGCTGCATCAGAGCCAAAATGTCCTGTGGGACCAGGCACCGCCGTCTGTGATGTTGTGTTGAAGGATGTGGTTTAGTGGGAGCTGTTGGCAATAGGTGAACGGTTGGACTGGATGAGCTTTGAGGTCTTTTCCAACCTTGTGATTCTATGATTCTATGATTCTATCTCCTGCTGCTTCCTGACTTCTCTTTGTGTTAGAACCTGAAATTCCCACTTGTGCCACAGGCCAAGTTGAGAAGCTCACGGGCTCTGAAAACTTGTTGCTTTGGGACGCCTTTCCCAAAGCTGAGGCTTTCCCTCTCCTAACTGCTCTGTTGATCAGTTGTGACATTTGCTATAAGGATGAACGTGAGATTTATGCATCAGGGCTGCAGGATGGCCTGTTCACTCCTGGGCTGCCCTCTCAGGAGCAACACGCTCCACAGAAATGCTGTGTTCTGTGAGTGCAGTGTGTGGTCCTGCCTTGCATCTTCCCCACGCTGCTTCTTGGGTGGTTTGGAGCAGGGGGTGGGAGAGGAAAGTGCAAACTCGGGTTGGAGGTGGGAATGATCTGCCACAAGGAGTGACCAGTGCACAAAAGGAATGAACCTAAAAACCTCAACTGCTTTCCCCACTCCCCCCCCCTCCATCAATGGTGTTATATTTGTAACGTGGCTCAAGGGAAGGTGACTCAAGGTAAGTTTTCTCTTTAAATCCAATGCTGCACAGTTCTGAAGCAAATGTAATTTCAAATCCTCAAAGAGGCTGGTTATATTAGACTGCTGTGGCTATTTCTGTTAGCATCGTAAAGTCTTAACTAGGAACAACGTCTTCTGGATTTTATACCATGTGGGTGTATTGCACGAGATCCAAGAAATGCTGGCACAGTTCGCTGCCCCGTCCCCTGTTCTGCTGGTGTGGAGCTCTGCCTAGTGCTCGTTCTGCATCTTCAGTGCAGGCCCACATCTCTGCAGTGGAGGAGAGGAAATGCAGGTGGCACTGTGGCATCGTGCTAAATCTAAGCACAACTTCCGAGCTCCGTGCAGCCTCCCCAGTAGCTGTGATGCTGCAGCCATCTCCCCAGCTCTTCCTCCCCACCCCAAAGGCTGCGGGCTGTCCTCTGAGCCCAGCAGTGCGGACGGTTTCCTCCCCAAATAGCTCCGAAACATCCATCCCAACTGCGGGTGCCGCTGCGCTGTGCTGCCGAGCCGCACCAGGGGGAGCACGGAACGCTTCTCCAAGCTGGTGGCTGGCTCCTGGCCGCTCGGAAACTTCCAATAAAAGCTGGGACGGTGTTTGGCAGCTGTGTGTGCTGGGAACCTCCTGTGGTTCCCTTCTTCATGGGTACTTACGCTGTTAAGTCTTACTCCAGCCAGCTGTGGGTCTGAGCATCCCGAATCGCAGGAACTTGAGCATCCGGCACCAGCAGATCGCTGCTGGCAGCCAGAAGGATGGAGGATTCGAAAGGGAATGAGACTCATCCTAAAATCAGCTGGATCTTAGAGAAACATTAGGGGCAAGGAGTGCTTTTGGCCCTTTCTCAGTCTTTGCCTTAAAAAAACCTCACAGCTGGAGAAGTTTTAAGCTGGGGGTTCTGCTCTGCTGCAGCTTTTGGTATTTGCTGGGAAAGTGTGTGTAGTCACTTGTGCAGAACATCCTTCACACACACCAGGCAGATAGATAAGCTCAGAGCATTGTTTAAGACATCTTCCCATGCACTCTACCACCAGGGCTTTCCTGTGCTCGGAGCCTGGTAGGTTAATCTGGGAAGCAGAGTTTGCCATTAGCAGCTTTGTGTGCTGCGTCCATCCAGGGAGATGCAGCAGTGATGGAAGCATTTCTCCCTGTGTGTGAATTTGATGCTCATCAGGTTCACCTACGTGTCCCCCCCATGCCCCCCTCAAACTGTGGTGTCTGGGTCAGCTTTCTGTTCTCAGAATGAGAAAAAGGGGACTGCAGAAAGCAGCGGTAGAGAAGATACAGATAGACTCTGAAGACCTTGTGCCTCTTGGTATTTCGTGTTCCTTCCATTTCTGCTGCATCAACAAGTTTGCTGCACCCATATGAAAAGGGGGTACAGGAGAGTAGTAGAGAACAGGGATTGCTTCTGTCATCAGGCCAAATCCCAATTTTCAGTTTTCAGAATGGAAAATCATCTAGGCTAGTTTAAAATCCCTTGCATACTATTTCCCTGCTGTGCAGAACAGAGCAGCAGCCTGTCAGTGTGAGAATGGGGAAGTGAAGCCAGCAAGAAACAGGAAGCAAAACCGAGGAGCCTGTTTTCATTTTCTAAGCCAAGGAAAGGACCGGAACCTGATCGGGGTCACAGGGCCCCTCAGCAGAGCAGCACTCTGTGCTGTGATGAATCTTGCAGGGCCGGGCAGGAAGTGGCTTCTGTTGTGGTGTAAGGAGCCAGCAGACCTGTGTGATGGAGGGCAGAGCGCTTTGTGAGGCTGGCTCTCACAGCTGTGTGTGTGCAGTCCTTGCTGTGATCCCCACACGTGTCTTTAGGAAACCTCGTAACAAACAAGGGGAGATGTGATGTCCAGCAGGGAGGGACACTGGGGGTCACCCGTCCCTCTGAGGTCACACAGGTGGACAGCCTGCACCCATCTCTTGTAAGTGGAAGAGGAAGGTCATCAGAATCACTGTGGATTGAGCAAGGGGAAATCGTGCCTGACCAACCTGGTCACCTTCTGTGATGCCATTGACCTGCTGGGCAGATGAGGGTTACAGATCACGCGTGTGGAGGAAGGAGGTAAATAATCACTAAAAACAGACCCACCTGGGTTCACTGCATTAGGTCTCGTTAGGCTCATTAATTAGTATGGATCCCCCATCCAAACATCACAGCTCAGCAGCTGGGGCTGATGGAAGCCAGCCCAGCTTGGAGCCATCCCTGCCCACCTGCTGGGACTGGGCACAGCGATGGCATGAAGGGAAGCGAATGAGCCACAAAGTGCATGTAGGCAAAAGGGCAGACAGAATTCACACGACGGTGAATTGCCTCCAAGGGTGATCTCTGGGCTCTGCGTGGAAGCTGAACTGTGGTCACAGCCGCGGCTCAGAGCTTTGTAGCTCACTGGTGTGCAATGTGAAATCCTGAGTTTGCTCCCCAAATAACGTCTGTCTCAGCCCCCGCATCGCACGCGCATCCCCAGGAATGGTTCCTCAGTCCTGTGTGGGCTCTTTGTACAGCAATGGATCAGACCTGACCGCTGCTCCCACCTCCCTGTGCCCCTGGAAGCACAGGACAAGAGAGGGAAGGCTTGGAAACCTTGTATTACAAAAATAAAAGAGGTGTCACGCATGGAGCTGCACTCGGCTCCAGCGCAGAACGTACCAATGGAAGGCAAATATAAAAAAGACAGACACTGTTAAACAGTCGCAGGGCAACATCCTTAAGGCTGAACAATCCCAACTGAACTGAGCTGATGTAAACCAAAGACCATCCTTATTCAGAGCCCCAGCAAGGCAGGATTGGTACCAGGAGCTCTGCTCTGACTTATAGGCTGGGTTGGGGCTCTCAAAGCCCTCGGATCTCCTTTCCCACGGCAGCAGGCCTGGAATGTGTGCACAGGGCTGGGATTTCATAGGGGGCAAGCGCTTCTGGTCTGATCTCATCAGGGAGAGAGGGCTCTGGGTCTGGGGGCTGCACCCCGCTCACCTCTGCTCCATCCTTACCATCTGTAGGACTCCTCAGAGGCCCCAGGAAAAGCTGAGCTGCCTCCCCTTCCCTACTGCTTGGGTCCCCTTTGCTTTACATCAGCTCAGTCAGCGCTGGCTCAGCACTGCTCCGTGCTGTCTGCTGGGCTCCAGGGAAGGGTGGGCCGTGCCCTGCTCATGCCGACTTGGTCCCGCTCTCCACTTCCTTGTGCACCCACAGCTCCTTGTGCTGCTTGCGCCCAAAGCCCTCGTCGTAGTTGCCTTTACTCTTGAAGAGCTGCTGGAAGTGGGGCTTGCAGTAGAATTCCCCGTGGAGTGCCGCGTAGCTGCCCAGGCTGGGGAAGGAGAGGGGTTAGTGGGGCTCAGCAAGGGCTTGGGAGCACAGGGAGAAGGGAGGAAAGAGGAAGGAACGTGCAGATGGCCCTTAGCAGAAAGGGGACGGAGGGTCCTTCCCTGCCCTTCAAGAGGAGGGCTGCAATGGGCAGCTGGGTGAAGAGCCTCCCCACACCCCGTAGCTGCCAGTAAGGATCACAGCAGCATCCAGCACTGCTCACCTGAGCTTGGCATGGCAGTGCTTGCAGCAGAAGCAGGAGTTGTGGAAGACAAATTTATCCGCCACCAGCCGCTCCATGGGGTAGACGGTTTTCTGGCAGGCTGTGCACATCTCCTTCACTTGGGCCTTCAGGCTGAAGGACTGGGCAAGGGGAATCCAAAGGGAGAGAAGGTGAGGAAAGGGGTTTGGAGAAGGTCCTTCCCACCTCCTCCCACAGCAATCGGGTGCAGGAGAATTGCGGTACCTTGGAGCGCTGCACCGTGCTGCCTCCTGAGTTGCTCTTTGCCTCCTAAGGAGAGAAATTGAAATGGGAGTTAGGGACTGGCAGGTGAGGCACTGAGCTGCGCGTGGCAGCCGGCGATGGGCTCTGAAACCTGCAGCAGGAAGGCACAGGGCTTCTCTGGGGTCATGGGCACAGAGCAGCCAGCTCTGCCATTCCGCACTGCTCACCAAAGCTTGGATGTAGCAGCGTGCCACGGCTCTGCTTCTGTGGCAAGGTGTCACAGCACACTGGCTGCTTTTTTAGTGGAGGTAGCACACGAGCACAGACCCCAGGGTCATGCAGCTCTCACCATCTGCAGGCGGTGCTTCCTTTCCTCAACTGCCCACCAAGGCTCCAGGGCTGACATCAGCCCCTCAGCAAAGCTGAGCAGGGCAGCAGGAAACATCCCTGCCTCAACATCCCTTGGGTCTCTGCAGAGTGGCTGCAGCAGAAACCTCCCTGTGACGTACACTGGCAAACCAGCACATGCTGCCCCGGTTTTATTTTTATTGTTTTGATGTTTTTATTAACAACAGCTCTGTTTTGGCATGAGAGGCTGCTCGTGGTTCCTTCTGGCCAACAAGCCATTGGGCTCATCCAACACTCAGGGCTCTGTAGGAGGGCTGGCAGTTTTCCTGTGCTGTGTCTGGGATGCCCCTCACTGATGCAGCACGCAGTGCTGGCTGCCCCTCACCAGATGTTTTGTCTCCGAGTTCCCCTGTTAGCAGCCAGGCCTGCCCTCGTGCTGCACAGGAAACGCCTGCGCCATCAGCGAGACCAAAAAGCTTCCACAAGTCCCTGCAGACTGTGTGCACGGAGGGGAGAGTGGAGTTCAGGACGTGCTGGGTGTCACTCAGAGCCCACAGCTGTGGGAAGAGCAGAAGCAGACTCTGAGGTGCCCAAGCCTCTGCCCTCGGGGGCTCTGAGCAAGTCTCAGTGCACCCTCAGAGGGTCCCCATCAGGCAGTGACCGCACAGCATCACCTCCTGCCTCCCTGCCCTTCCTCTGCTGCAGCTTCAGCTCTGTTTGGGCAGCACAGCCTCGTTTCTGTCCCCAGGGTGAGCTCCCACCTCGTCCTTCCCCAGCATTTCTTCTTTGTAGTTTTGGAAACAGTTTGTCTAAGAGACACACAGGAAGCTCTCACTTCACCAAGCTGCCTCTCCAGACGTTTCCCAGCTGCTCTCACCGCCTGAGGTCGAGGACATGATTTTCCTCTCCCTCCCACTTTTGCACAAGGCTGAAGAGAAAGCCAAAGTCAACAGAGCAGCGCAGGCAGAGAGGAGGCTCAGGTTGTGTAAAACCAGTTGCATCCCTCAGCGCCAGCAAAGCAACCACAGGTGCTCTGCTGGGGTTGGGGTTCACGGGCTCCTTCCAGGTTCGGTGAGCAGCGCTAAGGAGGATGCTGAGCAGGGCTGCTGCCTCCTATCTGCTCCCAAGGCTGCAGTGCTCTGCTGCTGCTCGTCACTTCTCGGCAGCCTCCTGGCTCCGACCAGGCCCGCTATCTGTTTCATGGCTGAGATATCCTCCCTCGGGGAAGGGCCATATCCTGTCCCAGCAGGGGATGTTCTCAAGCCTTTATGTTTTTCCATCTCCGATCGCCCCGATCCTAAGCAGCTCGCATGCTCGCAATTGTGATCACGGAAAGCCATGGAAACCCAAACAAACAGAAAGCAACCCGAGCCGAGCAGGGCGAGCAGCGCTGGATGAGATGCACCAGAGCCTGGACAACGTGCTCAGCAATGTGCTCAGCAAACAGCACCTTCTGCTGGAACCTTCCCACCCCCGGGGTCCCGTTGTCCGAGCAGCAGCTGTGCCTTCAGTCACTCTAAAACACCAAGTCCTCTATGCACAGCCTTCAGCCTCTGAGAACAAACTCAACTGGCTCTGGAATTCTCATGCAAACTGCAGGGGATGCGACATACGTGAGATGGGGTTGTGCTGGCGGCTTCCGAGGCCTGGAACATGGTTCTGTCCCCTCCTCGGTGGGTTTAATCCTGAGCTTGGAGTCTGTGGGCTGATGTTTCTGGGGGGGTGTTGAAAGCTCTCCTCTTGCAACACCTGGAAAGGAAATGTCAGTGGGAGCGTGGCCGGTTTCACCACCCCAACCCCACAGCTCTGCAGGAGCTGATGTGTGATATTGGCTTCCTTGTGGGGCACAGGGGTTCCTCGGGGGATCCAAGACTTCCAGGCACGCCAGATCTGGCATAGGGCTCAATGTTAGGAATTGAGGTGGGGACAGCATGCGGCTCTGATGCTTTCCCATACAAAGATATTGGGCTTGGATGGAAGAGGGACAGGAAGCAAAGTGGCAGCTGCTGTAAGCATCCTCCAAACCACGCGTGGAAGGCGGTCGGCAGGCGGTAGCAAGCTGTCAGCAGGCAGGTACAGCCTCCAGCCAGAGCTGCTGTCCTGCTGAGGCAGCAAACCCAGAGCCCAGACTGGTGCAGCCACCAAAGGATGGGTGATGCCGGATTTTAGCCTAATTTTAGCCCAGAGAAGCTTTGCTGAACAGAGCGGCTCACAGCTCAGCGGAGCGAGTGACGGAAACTTTGTCTTTTCTCAGGAGCTCACGTTGCCTTTAGGCTGAGCAACCCGTGAGGGTGAGTTTGATGCCTCCCAGCACAGCTTTAATGCAGCACAGAAAAAAAAAAAAGTCACTAAAAAAAAAACCACCACCTCTTTTGGTAAAAGTTGGATGAAAAGGTACTGACAGATCCTCGGGGTTTTCCCCAACTGTGCTTTACCTTCAAAACACCCATAAAAGGTCAAGGTTGATGAGCCCTGTTTTGCACATGTGAAACAGATGGGGAGCTGAGCTCTTGGTGCAGAGGGAGGAGCAGAGTGGGGACACTGAGCCATGGCTGTGGCCTCTGAGCCCTCCGTGCTGCCCTGGCTGCAAACAGGAGCTCTGCAATGATGGAGATGTGCTGCCAATCCAATCTCCCAGTGACGTTTGCAACCACAATTTGGCTTTGGGGAATTCTTTGATCCCCAGAAAGCCCCAACACCCAGCAGCTGCCATCAGGCTCGAGGTGCTGCAACCAAACACCCCAAATGAGCGACTGCTTTCAGAGTTCAACCACCCGAGCAGCAAAGCCGGGCTTCCAGACCTGAGCTGGGCAGCCCTCGGTGCAGACGCTTCCCAGCCCCAGCTGAGAACACAACTCCAGTTTTACCGAAATCATTTCCCGTCCTCTCTGCGGTCTGTCTGTCATTTCCTGCTCGCCATGATGCAGCGCACGCAGGCAGATGATGCTGGAGGCCATGCAGACCCCCCCCCCCCCCGCCACCCCCCTCCTGGTGCAGCACCATCCCTTCCACACCTCCAGGGTCTGCATGGTGCACAGACCCCATGGGGAACCCAAAGAACCCACAAAGCCCCTCTGGCCCATACCCTGCACGTACCTCCAGCACGGATGCGCAGCCCTTGATCTCCTCACCTCTTTTCACCTCTCCCCGCCCGTCCCTCCAACATCTCTCCACCCCTTCCTCTTCCCCTCACAGCCCATCTTCCTCCCCTACCCCAGCTGCCTCAGTTTCCCCTGTTCCTCCAGCCCCTTCCTCCCCGCGATCCCTGGCTCCCTCTGCTTCTGTTTTTCCCCTTCCCCTCTTTTCCTGCATGCAGCAGCTCCCCAATCCCATTCCCTTCAAGACCATCACAATTATCCCAACCCATATCTTGATGTTCTCCATCCAGACCCACTCTCCATGCACATACCCTTCTGCAGCCCCGTGCCCCAGTCTTTGTTTCAAGAGAGGCCTCTTTGGTCTAGCTGCCCTCCAGACAAGAGCAGATGTTGCTAAACATCCTTCCTGCCCAAGGACAGGGGTAGAAATCTCAAAGGGGAAGGGTGTGCTGAAGTGATAAGGGAAACAGAGCACATTAGAGACTGCAGGAGTGTTTCTAAGAGGCTTCCAGCTGCTGTCATCACTGTTTCAAGGAGGCATTGGTCTGCACAGGGGGGATTTGAGCCCAAAGCAGTAAACATGCTTCTGTGTGCAGAGGAACCCCAATGGCACAGGCTTCGCTTAAGGACACATTGCCACATTGATGCCAGGATTGCTAGTGCTGGAACGGCTTGCTGATTTCACGAAGACCACGTGTTATGTCTGTGACAAAGCAAGGAAGCTCAGTCCTGGCCTCCATGGTGGATGCTGGCACCACAGCTGCTAGCCCTGATTTCTCCAGACCTCCGTTCCTAAGCTCCTTCACCACCTACACAGCCCAGGAAGAGGAGGACTGACTATTGACTTCTTATCATACAGCTCAGGATGGGACAAGGACCCCTTCACCCTGCAGCTTCTGCTCTTCCTGCCCTTCCTTGGAGCATCTGATGGCCCTCCAGTGGATCTGGGCTTGAGCCCAAGGAGGTGGAGCAGCCTCTGACAGCAGCTCTGGTGGCTGCAGTGTGGCAGATCTGGATCTCAGTGGCACTGGATTCAGCAGGATGCATTCAGTGCTCAAACCACCAGCCTGGCTCTGGGGGCTTCTTGGTGACCTCAGCAAGCTGTCTGTGATCCAGGACAGTGGGGCTGGAGGTCACCTGCAGGGCACATGCACTTGCTGCCATGGGAATACAGCAGGAGGAGTGCTGCAGCTCTGTCTTTTGGCACTAACCAAGGAGCTCTTTGGGCTGAAGAAGGCAGCATTCAGCCCAGAAGCTGCTCAGTCACAAAACATTTGTCTCACAGCCTCTCACCTGCCTGGCCCTGGGGACAGATGTAAGGACAGGGAAGCATCTGGAGAGGCCCCTTGTGGAAATTCCCCGACTCACAGGAGGACTGCATCTCCCCATAACCATGGCCTGCCTCCAACACACAGCACTGTCCCTTTCTCCTGCTCAGCACCACTGCCCTTTGCTGCCTACCAGCCTCATTTCACTGGGCCCCCAAGCAGCCCACTGCTGGCTGAGAGCCTCTCTGAAAACTGATGATGGTTTTCCGGCACAGGAAAGCAGCGTGACTGCAAAGGGTGAGAGGCCCCTCTCTGCCATATGGTTCCCATTAGCAGCCCTGTGAAGTCAGTGTTTACTGCTGGGATCACTGTGCCATGGCCAGAGGCTTTCCCAAAGACCAAGCACAGTGTGGGGCTGGGGGGGGGGGAAGGATCCAGGCCCCCCCCTCTCCATCCCAAGAAGATGCCTTTTCCCCAGCAGCGTGGCATGGCTTCCACTTCTCAGAGGGGCTATCAGGCATCTCCCCCATGAAATTCGGTACTGCTGATGTCCCCATGACCACATGTAGGGTTAGTGCAAACACCTGCCATGGTCAGCCCATGCTGTGAAACAAATCAGCATCAAACAGGCCAGCATCAGGCCAGGAACACAACACCACCAGCACTGCTGCAGCTTCTCAGGAAAAGGGGCAGCAAGCTGCAGCCGTGGGGGGGCAACAGAACAAGTGTGGTGGTCAGGGCTCCAGCCTTGGCAGACCTCAAGTCATGGTGGTGATGGGCTGGCAGTTGGACCTGATGGTCTTAGTGGTCTTTTCCAGCCTTAATGATTCCATGATTCTAAGTTGGCTTCAGATCTGGGCTCCTTGCGTGGCTCCAGGCCAACACCGGTGTTTGGGACCCAACCCAGGTTCTTGTTGCTGCGATCCAGGACAGAGGGCTCTGGAGGGAACCAGATGGGCCGCTCATGCAGCCCCCACGACCCCACTTGGCCCCACCACGCACAGCTTCCCCTCTCATCCACTTTCCATCCACGTTCCGTGCCGTCTCTTGAAAGGCTGCCAGCGGGCAGGAAATCTGCAGCTGAAATGCTGAGGGATGCTGACAAGGAATAGTTGTGGGGAGGAACAGGGCTGCCTTTGTCAGGGCAACAATGGAGGACCCACACGAGCCAGGGAAGCCCCTGCCCAGGCATTCTGCTCTCCTACCTTCAGCCCTGGGAGCACCAGGTCCAGCCATGCCTTGAGGATGCTGCTGGGATCCATCTGTTTTCCAGCAGTGGGAACTGAAGCACAGAGCAGCCCATCCCTTGGACTAAAGCCATGTTTTATGGCATCCATTAAGCATCATGAAGGGAATCTCTGCTCCCTGGGTTCAGCGATCTCGTTCGGAGAGAGTGGACGAATGCAGCAGGGAGCTGCTACGTGGGGGAGAGGAGATTCTTTTCCAGGCAGAGAAATCTCTCTCATTAGAGCCAGATGATAGAGCAGGCAGAAACAACAGGTTGGGAGGTTCAGATTGGTGGGCATCAGGCACAAATGCTTCATAAGAAGGAAGACTTGGAAGCTCTGCAGCATGGTACTAATTAAGTGCAGTACACACGAGCACAGTTATAGCAGTTATGCCCCTTCCACCCCCTTCTCAGTTCTTCCTTAGTCTTGGAAGACTTCCCCCACGTCCTGCCCAGAAACTCCACCTCCCAGTTTCCTACCAACATGTTCATCCCTTTACTCTTATTGTGGAATTTTGCTCCCAGTTTGCCTTCCAAAAGTACTCATGGCCTATCAGCCTTCTCTTTTTTGGCCACGAGAAGCCAATCCCTTTAATCTGTTCCTATAGGAGAGGTTCTCCATTCCCACACCAGAGGAGGGCTCAGACCTTTGCGTCCCGCTTGGACCCCTTCCCTGGCAGCACACAGCGGTGCTGATGCACTCTTCCTCTGTCACCTCTGCACTGATCCCAAATGCTCACTCTCCTGCACTGCCCTCCGCTCGCTGGCCATATGGAGTGGGCTTTGGGCACACCAGAGGAGTGAGAAATATATTGTGTGTTTAATGATTGCAATAATCCCTTCACCCAGATTTAACGTTTTCCATCCCAGAGCTTTGCTAATAGCTAGGTAAGCTCTGCAACGCTCCCAGATGGCAGATGAAAAGATGACTTTAGTGGAAAGCCAAAGGCAGAGATGGGAACAAGGCAGCTGCCTGACAATGGGCTGCAAGAGCTGAGGATGGGCAAAAAGGAAAAGGAAAACCCCTCGCAGCTGGGCTGAAGGGACTGCCTGCAGGCTCACAGACCTGCAGGAGGAAACCACCAATGGAACTCCCTTCCCTAATGAGAAGTCTCATGGGACTTTGGGGACCAAAAAAAGGCACTTTTGTTGTGAGCCTTACGGAAAAGAAGATGCACGCAATCACTGTGCACCCCGTGCTGAGGTGGACCCTGACTGCTCAGCTGGGAGTTTGCTTCCTGCGGGACCCCATGGGGAGAGGACAGCAGCACCGAGGCTGTTTCAGACTATACTACATCAGTTACCCTGCCATTATTTTTTAATCAGCATTAATAATGCTGCAGGCATGTTGTCCCTGGCCCTAAATACGCAGCAGCTCAGCTGGGAGAGCCCTCGTGTGATGCTTTCGGTGCACAAAGCCCCATTTCTGAAGCACGCTGCCACACAACTCCAGTGTACCAAAACAGATGCCCAACCCATCAACAGAAACCAGTTGAAAACCAATAAAAACATCATCTATGTGGTATCTTAGCTGGTCCGAGAGATCCTAAGGGATTATAAGGATCAGATCTTCCCTTTACTCAATGGTTACAGCACAGGGCTGCCACCTGGGGCTGATCCCGGCTGTAGTTCTTGGGTGACAACATCTTGGTTGGCTTTTTTAATCCATTCCTTTTCTCTCTACTGAAAGCAGAGCTGCTTCCCTTTGTGAAGCCCTGAGGGGGTCCCCAGCTGCTCAGGGCTATGCCAGGGCTGGGGGTGCATTCATATTGGGATCAAATCTCACAGTCATGCAACAGCCTCCTGAGAGGGTGATGGAAAACCTGTAGCTGGAGGGATGTAAAGCTGGATGGGTGCTGGGAGACACAGCACGGAGAGGCAGCAGGCAGCAGCCAAGGCGGGGGGGAGAAGGGGAGGTATAGGGGAGCAGGGATCTAACAGGTTTTCTTCTATCTTTGCTCAATCTGCTCAGCTTAAGCAGATGGATCTGTCCAACCCCACCACACCCCCGAGCACGGGATGCAGCACACAACAAAGAGGGAGTTCAGCACAGCTGGGGAGCCCCAAAATGCTGCACACCCCCCCCCCCATCAAGCACCGCACTCCCAGACCCTATTCACTCCCTTCCCCACTCAGCACCGGGTGCAGATCCCTCTCCTCTTCCTTGCCCTCCCAACAGAATCCCAACCCCAAAAGGTACCCAGTGCCCAGACAGCATCCCCCGCATGCTCCCCCACCCTACAGTCCCTCGACCAAGCCGCTTCCCGAAGCAAAAGTTCCTCTCTGTGGGGTCACGCATGCATTTTTTCGGGGGGGAAAAACCCCCACCTGCTGCATGACCCCGGCTGGCAGCGCTGCTCTCGGGGCTCCCCACCTGCAGCCCTGCCTTCTCCCCATCTCCCCATCTCCCACCCCGCTTTGTTCCCCTCCCCCATTGTTCCCGACAAACCCAAACCCAAACCCCCCATACCCCCGGGCTCCGCCGCCGAGGAGAAGGACTCAGCCCTCACCGCGCTTGGTCGGTCGGTCGGTCGGTCGGTCGGTCGGTCGGTCGGTCGGTCGCCTCTGTCCCTTCCGCGCTCAGGCGCGCTCCGTGCGCGCTCCCCCCGCCGCCCCGCAGCCCCTTTTATCGCGCGGCCGCCGCGGCGATTGGTTCCTTGAGCGGTGCGGCTCCGAGCGCCGCTCCTTTGTGTGCAGCCGCCTCTCCCTCACTCGGCGGCCCCCCGGCCCCAAAACCGCACCGCCGCCCCCCACTCCACGCCCCCCCCACCCTCCACCACCCGCCGTGGATGCGGTGCTGAGCTCGAGGCCACGAAGGCAGCGGGCTGCGGATCCCCCCAGGCTCCGCACGGCCGCCCTTCAGCGAACGGAGCGGCGATGGTGGATGGGGTTTTGTTGGGGTCGGGGTTTTGTTGGGGTCGGGGTTTCGCCTGAAGAGGGCGAAGGGCGGCACTGGGCAAAGCGGGGGCAGCGGAGCAGGGTCGGGAGCGCGGCCCCGAGCTCCTGTTAGCCGCGTGCGCGCGCAGAGAGCGGCGATCGACCTCGGTGCAACGCATCCTTGCCTGGCGGCGGCGTTCACCAGGAGGAGAGGTGCGGCGTATCGGTGCCGTCGCTGCGTGGCCGTGCAGCACCTGCAGCGTAGAGGCTTCGCTGCAAATGGAAGAAGGAAACTCGCCGGGCCGGGCTGCAGCAGCGCGCCTGGCTTGCGGAAAGCGGCATCCGCACACACGCACATGCAAACATGCGTGCACGCTGACACTCGTGTGCCGGCACTCCCGTGAAAATGCATGGTGCGCGCATGCCGACGTGCTCGTGCACCTGGATGCCCTGTGTGCTCCATACGCGTGCACGCTCGGCTATGTGCACACGCATGCTCGCGCACTCACGGATGCATGCTGAAGTGCTTGTGCACATGCAAACGCATGCACGCGCGTGCACGTCGGGGGCGCGCTCACGCACACACACCGGTGCACGCGCACCCCAAGCCGTTGCTATGGAGACACGCGAGTTCCCCGGCAGCCCGGCAGCCCCCCGGCAGGGGGAGCGGTTCCTGCTTTCTGCGCCCTCCCCTCCTGCAGGGGGCGCCCTCCCTCGCCCTGCCCCCAGGAGCCGCCGCTCTCCCCGCGGCCCGAGTCCTCCCGGCCAGCAGGGGGCGCTGAGCCGCGCTGAGCCGCTCTAGGGCCGTTCTGTCCGGCGGCGGCGGCGCAAGATGGCGGAGGAGGGCTCGGTGTGCAGCTTCGTCTTCAAGAAGCGGGGTCTGGCGGCGGGTAGAGGCCGGCGGAAGCGGCCCAGCAGCGACCAGGAGCAGGGTGAGGGCCGTGGGGGCTGCCGGGAGCGGTAGGCGCTGAGGCGGTCCATTACGGTGCCCGAGGGAGGCGAGGGAAGACCTGCTGGCGCCCTGGGCCGTACTGCCCCTCAGTCAGGCCCGGCCCTGGGCCGCTGGGCCGTGTGGGTGAGGGGCGCTGCGGCGGCCGGGCCTCCGTGCCAGGGTGCCGTTCGTTATCCTCCCGCAGAGCCGCGGGGATCCGCCGCCCGCTCTGCCCCGCGGTTCGGCCCCCCTGGCGCCCCTTAAGCCCTGCGCTGTGCCCCACAGAGAGCAGCGGTGAGGAGGGCAGCACGGTGGTGCGGAAGGAGCGGCGGCGGGAGGCCCCCAACCCAATGATCCAGAAGGTGAGGAGCCCGCAGGCACTGCGCCGGCCGGGGGCTGCGTGGGGCCCGTTTGTCCCTCACAGCCGCTGTCTGTCTGTCTGTTTGCCCTTCAGACCAGGAGGTGCACGAAGGAGCGGCCCTCGTACGCGCTGAGCAGCAGCGATGAGGATGATCCATCGAAGGAGATTGGAGTCACTTACAGATCAACAAGGTCGGCGGTAAGGACTGAGCACGGGCTGAGGTCGGGGGGCTTGCTGATCCCTTACTCAATAATCTGCTTCTGCAGATGTGCAGTCAGCTCGTCTTGGTTTTGATCCGTAGATGTGTGTCCCTTCCCTCCAAACACACAAGTGTTTTGTGCTAGGCTTATTCTTCTGATGTACTGCATCCTCAGGAGTTCAACTAGGAATTCAGAGGGCTGGAGCACCTCTCCTATGAAGAAGGGTTGAGGAAACTGGGATTGTTTAGCTTGGAGAAGAGAAGGCTGTGGGGAAACCTCATTGTGGAGCATATAAACAGGAGAGGAACAGCTGTTTAAGAGGGTGAATGGTGATAGGATAAGGGGGAATGGCTTTAAACTGAGGCAGGGGAGGTTTAGGTTGGATATTAGAAGGAAGTTTTTCCCCCAGAGGGTGGTGAGGCACTGGAACAGGTTGCCCAAGGAGGCTGTGGATGCTCCATCCCTGCAGGCATTCAAGGCCAGGCTGGATGTGGCTCTGGGCAGCCTGGGCTGCTGGTTGGTGACCTGCACACAGCAGGGGGTTGGAACCAGATGATCATTGTGGTCCTTTGCAACCCAGGCCATTCTGTGATTCTGTGAATTAAGGTTGGTCTTTCCCTCTTAGAAGTGGGAATTAAAACCCCAAGGTGCCACTGGAGTCACACAAAGCGTTTGGGAGAAGGAGCACCAGCATCAGATTTGCTCAATTATTGGGGCCATATTTTCAGTTTTATAGCACCTTCCTCCATAAGGTATTCACGTAACATAGAATGTATTCCCATCTTTATTCTTGTGAGTAGTAATAGGGTAAAAGCTTTAGAGGGGGGTCACTGTTTTCTTAGGATTGAGGGATGGGGAAACCTGAGGGCCTTGTTAACAGTTGAAGTGGAGAGAAATCACTATTTTTATGTTTTTGACACAGCTGAAAAAATGTTCTTCCCATTGGGTTTTTCTCAAGCTCTCCTCTTCATCCAGTGAAATTGTGTCCATCAGTAAGAGTCTCGTCGAGATTTGTGTAGAACTAAAAGCAAGTACCAGCATTTGCTGTGTTGATGCTTTTTATTCCTCCCCAGATTTGCTTCCTTACTCTCTGTGTCTCCATTTTTTTCTCTTTAAAATGGGAATAGCGTCCAGCTATCCTCAGTCAAAGATGCAAGGTCAGACTGAGGTCTCATTATCACATTAGAGATCAATATGAAGGCTCATGCTGTAAGGAGGAAGCCAAGGTAGGGCAGCGTGTTCTTAGGAGGAGGTGGAGGCTTTTGGTGTGTAAGTTGGATTTGTTTTTAATTTGAGGCTGGTAGTAATTATTCTTCAGTTTCTGTGCAGCTGAAGAGCTGACAAAACCTAGGAGGAGGTGTCTGTTCACTGTGTTCAAGAGGAACCAAAACCAAATCACTGGATTAAAACTGAGCGCAGGCTGCTGGGTTAAAAGTTCAGATGAAACGTGCTGTGTGTGGGCTGGGCGCTTCATGACTGAAGCGTTGAACATGGGAGAGCTGAGATCAGTTTCCAGCTAACACAAGATGAAGCTTGAAGGAATAAAGTGGGGATCAGTGTGTCCTGACTTTGCAAGTTAAAACCTGGGAGCAGCCAGTAATTAGCATCCTGTCTTCCACGAGCACTAGGCTGGATTCATGCTGGCAGGTGCTAAGAGAAGTTAGAAAGTGCTGGAGGGTGAAGCAGGCCGTGCCCAGCACTTGTACAGTCACTGACCCACCTGATAGCCCAGGGGCTTTCTCTCTTGTACAGCCTTTCTTTCTACTGTTGTCACAAGTTGTTCTTGCTTTTCAGAAACCTGTTGGCCCAGAAGACATGGGGGCCACAGCAGTGTATGAACTGGACACAGAGAAGGATAAAGATGCCCAGGCCATCTTCGAGCGCAGCCAGAAAATCCAGGAGGTCAGTCAGCCTCATCTTCACAAATTAACGCTGTGCAGGAGGAGTGTGTGTGCTTAACTCATCCCCTTTTGCATGCCAAGAGTTTGAGTCTTTTCTTCCCTGCTAATTTGAGAGGCCAAAATGTTGCCTGTGTAAATGGGGGAACTTCTGTCATTATCAATTTCTTGGTATTAAGGGAGGCATGGCCAGAAAGGGAGATTGGTATTGGAGAGGTGAAAGCTGGTTTGTGACATGAAGCTCTTCTGACACTTACTTGCCTTTCTTTTTTCTTTTCTAGGAACTGAGAGGAAAAGAAGATGATAAAATTTACCGTGGTATTAACAACTACCAGAAGTATGTGAAGCCCAAAGACACATCAATGGGAAATGCCTCTTCAGGAATGGTCAGGTAGGTTGGGACGAGCCTGGGATGGGGGGAACCACGGAGAATTTCAGGCATTGTCCCCAAAGGCATTTTTCTGGGGCCAAAATGTTGCTGTTTTTGCCAACTTGTTCCTTTCTAATGAGTGCGGTGTCTGGTTTTGGCCGGGCCCCCAGGGCCCTTCTGCACTGCAGTGACACAGCTGGCCTGAGCCTTCTCCCACCCTTTCAGAAAAGGACCCATCCGTGCTCCAGAGCACCTGCGGGCCACGGTGCGGTGGGATTACCAGCCAGACATCTGTAAGGACTACAAAGAAACGGGGTTCTGCGGCTTTGGAGGTGAGTGGGCATTGCCTGCAGGTGAGCACATGCTGCACCTGATCTGCAGAGGGATCCAACCCAGTTGGGTGACCCCAGGTTTGTGGCACTAAGATGCACAGTTACTGATTCACGGGCAGAGTTCGTGTTTCCTCACCTGAGGTTATGTGGGGGTGGGATTTCCTGGTCCTTATCCCACTTGCCACGTGGGTGAATGCTGGAGCTCTTGCTGTGGCATCCAGAGCGTGATGCTCATGGCCTGTTGATCCTGAGAGGGCAGTGTGGCCTGCTCGGTCCTGCCCTGGAATGTAGGTGCGTGGAGAAGCAATCGGGTTTCACCTTGTGCTGGCAAATCTCAGGCTGCCCCTGCATGAGGTGACCTGTGAACAGCTGGGCAATGGGGGAAGATTGTTCATCCCCCCTCCTTTGTGCTTTTCAGACAGCTGCAAATTCCTGCACGACCGCTCAGACTACAAACACGGCTGGCAGATAGAACGGGAACTGGATGAAGGCCGCTATGGAGTCAATGGTACAGCACAGCCCCTCTGCTCTCCTGCTCCCTGAGCTAATGGTGCTCGAGGCCACAAGGTCCTGCCTTCTCTCATGTTGGAGAGTGAATGTGACTTACAGACTTTGCTGTCTCAAACTGCACAAGCAATGGGTCGATTAGATGGAAGGAATTCCTCATTCCACAAAGCTGTGGAACTCCCTGCTGTGGAATTACCTTAGCACCAGTAACCACTGCCAGTGCTGAGCAAATCTGCTGCTTTCAGATTTCCACTGACTGCTACCAGGGAGGACTATTTGCTCTGTCTATACAGAATATAGCAGTCTGTATGAATCCCAGCAGCAAGCAGGGTGGAGCTGGGGAGGTAGATAGAACCATTTCCTGCAGAACAGATGCCCAGGAGCTAGAATGCTTTCATGCCTCGTCACATCCCTATTTCTCACTCAGAATCCATATCTGTGGCCCAAGGATGCAGCTGAATGTTGCATATGAACCCCTGTGCAGTTCCAGGAAAGGGGATGTTCTGTGAGTTGGAGTTGAAGAGTTTAATAGCAGCTGTTTTGGAAAGAAATGTGAAAAATTGGAGGATCTGTCTGTTTATAGCAGCAAGTGGGTGTCAGAAAATGTGCTCCTGTGAGGTGAGCAACAAGCACATTGGCTCATTAGACCTAATTGTATCTCAATCCCACACATGTTACTGACATCAGCGACACCCAGATGCTAGAACTGTTCTTTCCAGCAGAGATTCAATCCCACCTGCTGTACTTTCTCCATGTTCCATATTTCATGCCCTGTGCATCTGCTGGCCTGGCTGCTTCCTCTCTTGATCCAGTCTGGTTAACTTTCTCTTGTGCAGATGAAGAAAACTATGAGGTGAGCAGTGATGAGGAGGATATGCCTTTCAAATGCTTCATCTGCAGAAGTTCCTTCAAGAACCCCGTGGTCACCAAGTAAGTGAGGGAGCCAAACATCTGTGGTGGGTTGAGTCCTCTGGTCAGTCAGCCATTCGCTGTGGTTGCAAACACTGTCATTGCCTACATGCTGGTGGGTGGAGCATGCTTGTTTGCTTCTCTGGGGGGTGGGGAAAGCCTCTGCTATGCAGGGAGTCTCCTAACTACATCTCAAGCATCTCCTTGAGGGATCTCAAGCCTTTGTTGTCCAAGCACCTTCTAGAATTCCATAGATGCTGCCTGCTGGCATCACCTTGCAGCAGCCACACTGCTGGCTGTTCTGACAGGTACCTGCTACCTCCATGCTTCCTCCAGGGAATACCACAGCCTGTCCTCTATAGCACTTGTACCATGCTGTCTCTGGGAGAGCTGGCTAATGGCTGCATGCAGACATTCAGCAGCAGTGAAGCAATGCTGAAATAGCTTTTATGAGTACGGCAGAGAACACAGGGCTGATGCTGCATAGGAAGCTGTGCATCCAGCTTGCTTTTGCATCCCTCAGGGCTCAGTGGTCAATTATTTCTGACTCCTGGATGCAGCAGTTGTATGTGGTGACAGGCACTGCCATCTGTTTCTCCATACAGATGTAGGCATTACTTCTGTGAGAGCTGTGCCCTCCAGCACTATCGCAAATCCCAGCGCTGCTACGTGTGTGACAAGCAGACCAATGGAGTCTTCAACCCAGCAAAAGGTAACAGCCAGCTGTGGGAAAGAGGGCTGCTGATGTATGCTCACAGCTTTTGGCCCGGCTGCAAGTTGGAGCTCACAGGCAGAACTTCTCTCAGTGCCTGGAGGCACCACGTCAGGGCCTGGGTGCCTCCACAGGTGTAAAAAGAGCATTTGTGTTTGCCCAGATGAGGAACGTGGGGAGACTGATTTCTGAGGAGGGTGCTGGGAGTGCAGACAGTAGCTTTTCTGATACTGTTGTTTGCAGGTCAGTAATCCACTGACAGAGCCTGGTGCTGTAGCATCTGAAGCCCCGGGCTCAGCATACGGTGGTATGTCCTGGTTTAGTCTTTGTGTAGGAAGGTGATTTTTGGTAGGTGCTTCAGTTCTTGGAGAGCTGTGTTTGCAGGTTTTGGACAGCCAGCTTTGCTGTTGGACATCCCTCAGACCTGGAGTCTCATTGTGCCTCTTCCTGTTTTTCAGAACTCATGGCAAAATTGGAAAAACACAAAGGGGAGGAGGAAGAGGAGGAGGAGTCAGACCACTCAGACCATGGAGAAGACCCGCACTAGCAGAGCACTGTTTTGTATGGAGCCAAATAAAGTTTTCATGGGAACAAAGCACTGATCACAGCACCCTTAGGCAGCAGCTGCAGCCATTGGTCGCTCATCCAACCAGGGGTCGTTAAAATGGGGGCACAAGTGGTGCCAGCCTTCTTTTGCTGCTCTGTGAAGGTACAGGACAGAAGGGGTGAGCAGGGAGTTGTCCTCTGTGCCAGCAGTGGGACCACAGGAGGGCCAGGGGAGGGAGGGGTGGAACTCTGTTCAGTTACTTTTGACAAGGTGTTGCCATTTATTTTACTCCTGCTGTGGCAATTATCCTGCTTGTGTCCTGCCAGTTAGCCCTGGAAGCATAAAAAACTATCCTGAAGTTACAAGGAGTAATCTCTATCCCAAAATTTAAGTCCATAAAATAGGATCGTGTCGAATGCAGAAAGCAGGGAGAGAAATGAAAACCAGAAAACTAGTTGCTTGCACCAGGTTCATCTGTCGCTCTGGAAATGCTGTTTGGGAAGTAAGCCAGACTTCTGCAGTTAGTTGTGATTTATTACAGCTCAGAGGAGCATATTCCCTCCTGTCTGTTCTGCTGCCTCTTGGTTTCTGAAAGTCAAGAGCTAAAAGTCACATCAATCAGGGTTTAGAACTTCAGTGGGTGATGTGGAATCATCCCTTGGGGACGAAGCCAGCAGCTGCAGCACATCCCAAACACAGTCCCCAAGGTTTTATGCTGTCACTGGTACTTTATTATTTTTCCCTTGCTGCAAGTACCAGTAACCATCTCTGTCCAGGCCTGTGGAATGGGGATGAGAATTTTTGCAAGCAAATTTTTGCAGCCCACTTCCTCGTGGGCTGGATTGCAAAATGCAATCTCCTAAGTCTGGAATTGAGAAGAGTATAAGCTTGCAAAGCTTGTGGCATCACTGCTGCCATCACTCCTCTGTCACTCTGCAGAAACAGCAGGCTTACAAACTTCAGAAATATTTTATTTGTTTTGGCAAAAAACTAGAGTAACAAACTTTATCTGGGTTCAAGTAGTTTACAAACACAAGAAAGACCTGTTGTCAGCACCACTCTCCCATCAGTCACACGTACAGGATTGGAGTCTCAGTGCTTCATTTGAAGAACAGAAAGAGCTCCAGCACCCACGGTCCTTGGAAAGGTCAAAGTGAAAGCCTTAAACACACCTCCAAAACCAAATGCTGTGGGCTGGGGGAGAGCTGCCACAGCCAGGGATCAAGGGAAGCTGTGTGAAAAGCAAGCAAAGGATTTTTTTCAAATCTGTCATTCATTCAGGGATGATGGTACAGCAATAGTAAGAGAGGGCTTAAGATCATTCTGTACATAACATTCAAAGAGGTGTTGTGAATAAGAGGAGTTGGTGTAAAAATTACTTTTCCTTCATGCCAAGTCACTGAGAACAGGCTGGTATGAATATTTCATGCTGTGAAAGCAGCCCAGCTAACAGAGGGCTGAGCTGGATGTGCTCTGGGAGGTTTGAAAAGCTGGTACATGCACAGAATTACATGCACTAGAATTTGGTGACCCAGGCAGCCACGGGAGGAGAGGTGGGGATGCCATCCGACCCGGAGCTCAGAGCACGCAGCATCAGCTGAGAGGAGTCTTAAAAGCTCTCTCCAGAACTGGAGCACAGCTCAGGACTGCAGAGGAACGCCCAGTGCAGTGAATGTGCCCAGGCCAGCATCAGGTCATCTCCTGTTTCTTGTTTTCCCCATAAAGAAGTGACCAAGCTTAAGAATGCACTCCTTTTCCCACCCTCAGAAGTTACCCAGTAACAACACTGTAACATAAATCTGACTAGCTCTAAGAAAATGCCCCAAACTAAGAACTGCTTTCCTCCCCTTCTTAACTCTAAGGCACCCTTTAAAAAAATTAAAAAAAAAAAAAAAAATAGAGTCATGTAGCCTTCACCTGCAATACAAGGAAGCCACTCGTTTTTAGAAACACAGGGAAAGAGACCATAACTGAACAGATTCACTCCATCCATTGCAGTGTTCTCCTGGTGCTCAGCTGAAAGAACTGGGATATGGGGCACTGCACCAACCAGAACACTCCACAGCTCTGGTCTGTCCGTTTGTTTCCAGGCTTCTTTCCAAGTAAACAGGCAGCTGAAGTTCCTTCCCAAGGACCTGTAAACTCTTCTACGTGTAACATTCATCACCTTTTATGAACAGGAACAATAAATTACAGCGTCCAGAAAGCTCCTCCAGAACCAAATATAGTCTCTTGTTTTTCTAGAATTCCCAGTCATCCACATCCAGCTGCTCCAGGTTTGACACCAGCCCAAAAATGCCACTGGGATCCTGGGGCCGAGTTCCTTCAAAGTTAGTGATGGGAGTGACGGGGCGCAGCAGCTCAGGGAGCGCTTCAGAAGCACGGCGCTTGATCTGCGTGGGGAAAAAAGCTCAGCTCTGAAATGCTTCTTCACATAGGAAGGCAGCGAGTAAGACAAGCATCCTCCTGTCTGCACTGAGAGATGCACAACCTGCATCTTGTAACAGAGCTTCGCACGGTCGTTGCAGTAACGCTTGTGTGATTCTGAGGGTAAGAGAAGCTGAAGTGTCACAGGACAGCGAGCTGCTGGAAGAGCCACATCGTGCTCCCAGAGAACAGCCCTGCCACCTTCCTAGAGAATGCAAGGCTCACTAACCTGCACTGCTGCTAATCACCAAGCTAAATTAATCATTTCAGGTCCCAGAAAATTCAGCAGCTCAAAATTCCCACCCTCAGCTTTGGTGACACTGTAAGGTAATGACTGCAGAAAAGCCACTGTTCTGTACCTGTGCATTAAGTGATCTCCTTACCTGCTTGAAAAAGGGATGATTAAGCAGAGCACCTGCACTTGGCCTGCAGAAGGAAGTTCAAATAAAACAAGAGAAGAAAACGAGTCAGTGCACTTTGACCTTCCAAGATTCAAGATGCCCACGTCGCTCAGTCAGCAATGCATCATCACAACCCCGTCCCACCCATCCCCTCCCTCGCACCAGCTCTGGCACCCAGACTCTGTGAAGATTCAACACACCAACCCAGCAGAAAACACGCTCTTAGCAGCTGACAGGGTGATCTGACGAGCACAAGGGGCAGCAGAAGGACAGGGCAGGACTTCCCAAAGGAGGCTGCAAACTGTGGCTATGAGCTCTCAAGGAAAGAGCCTCACGACATTAACGCTGCTTTTGCTGCACACACTTGATGTGCTGCTCTCAACACACAAAGCACATCCTCCCTCACGGTTTTGGAAAAACTGCAAACAACCTTCACTGGTTCTCATGGTTTATTCAGCACAAAAATTGTGCTTGTAGCAGGCTCGTGAAGAGCAGCTTTGGCCTGGCTTTACCTGAAGTCTGGATTCCGCTGAAGGCACTGTGCTACGAAGTTATGGAAGCAGTTGGAGAAGGTCCGGAGATAAGGGTGCAGGGTTGACTCTCCGTTGGCTGCTCTCACATTGCTAACAGCCATGCTCTCACCCAGCCCATAGTTTGCACTTGAACGAGAGGTTTTCATAGTCAGCTCATCAGCAGGAATTGTGGTGGTGTCTAGCAGGCAGGGAACAGTTCCATTCAGCTTTTCCAAGAGCATCTGGAAGAGAAGGACATCAACATCCCACATACACACAAACAACAATTAAAAATTCTCAGCAGTCAATTAAAATTTCTCATGTCCTTAGCATTTGGATGTTACCATTCTAACCAAAGCCTCAATACAGAAGCACTGCAGTTCTCTAGAAAAAGCAGCAATGAGGGGGGAATTCAGGGACCCTCCTGTCTCCACAACCGAGAGCTGAAATGCAGTTCTGCATGCTGAGATGAAAGAGTGAAAGATGTGCCTTTAAACCTTACCTGAGTGGAAGGCATGTCTTTAAATGGTACATGTCCATTTGCCAGCTCACAAGCTGTTATCCCTATGCTGTAGATGTCAGATTTTGCATCATATCCCTGAAGATTCTAGAAGACAAGGCAAATAAAAACTGTAGGCCTGCAGTGCAGACAGGTGATGCCCATGATTTGCTGTGTAGAACAAACAGAAACGATTCCAGCAGAAATTAGACAACCCACATATAGGATTGGTCTGTTGTTGTGGGTAGTTTTAAGGTAAAAAGTACAGAGTCAAGATGCTCATCATGAGCAAAAGCAACCCCGTGGCCATTGGTTTTACTTTTCCCAAACATACCCTAAAACCTCAGGAAGTTACACAGAGATAAGATGTATTGCTGAGCATAAGCAGTAGTTGGTTTTTAAACACACCTGCTGCAAGACTTCAGGGCTGAGCCAAGGTAGGACTTTGATGCTGTATTTGGGAAAGTCATGAACGACTTTGAGGCGCTGCCCATGGTTAATCATACTCAGGTTACTTCTCAGACCAGAGAGGTACACCTTCCCATCTACAGAAATGAGGATATGGCTGGCTTTCACACTCCTTAAAAGAACAATAAAGATCAGTCAGGTTCTCTGTCCCCAAAAGTTGACGTTCCTTACAGCACCCCAGGAATGCTGCTAGCATAGAAGTATGCCATACAGGATTTACCTGACCAACTCTGACAGTACACACCATCACAGGACCGACCACTGATAACCCAGAACACTCAGTGTTTAAAGTATAGCTTCACAATGAAAAGATAATATCAGAGGAAGGGAAAAATATGCTAAAGGGTGGAAACAGTAACGTAAGGAAGAGATTTTTAAATGATTCAACCTTAACGAGCACTGATAGAAAGACTAAAAGCTTATCAAGAGATTCCTAATGGCCATCCTGAATTCTGTGCAAAACTGCACGCACAAACACCAACAGGACTCAGTTCACCCACTTTGCTCTTCCCCCAAGGAATGTTTCTGTGGCAAGGAGAAATGCAGGACTGGAGGACTCAGGACAAATCTCCCCACACTGTCAGTCTCAATTCAGAGCCTTAGCAAGTCTGCCTGCCAACACGGCTGTCCTGACTCCACACAGACACTGGCCTTCAGGGTACAGAGGTAAGTTTGTTTCAGCAACACTGCTATTATTATTATTTTTACCTATGTACATAGCCCATATGGTGGATGTAGTCAAGTGCTTTCAATACTCCTTGGAGAATATATGCAATAGCCAATTCACTCATCCCATCCATAAAATGGGTACAGATTAGATCTTTTGCAGAACCTAAAATGAAACAAAACATCCCTTCATTGGTCAGAATAACGAGGATGTTTCAATAAAGATGTAACACCTCTTAAACTTCATTTTACAGGATATGCTGGTCAGAATAAACATACACCCTCTTCACTTACCATAGGCCATGAAAGATGTCACTACCCACAGCTCATTGTCAGCTATGAACGTTGCTTTGTATGGCACAATGTTAGGGTGGTTGAAGAGCTTGGAAACATGAAGCTCCCCCTGAAAGCAAAGAAGAGATTTTGATTCAATACAGCAAATGCAAAAATATCAATACAGTATTGATAAGCACTGCTCTTATCTTCTGTTCTCCTCTAAACTTACACTACGGCATTAGTAGGTATGTGTTACCTGCAAGAATGTGACCATTTCATTGGTGCAGGCTTCCAGGTTAACTCTTCTGACTGTGACATACTCCCCTGAGGGTTTATACCTGGCCAGGTTTACAACCATCAAGTCTTCAAAGCCTCTGCCTGAAATAAAAGGCATTCAAGCTTCAGTCGTATTTCTGGAAGCACGCAGTTCTAAAGAACTCCTCCAATCCTGGGCCCTTAAATAACCTTTATACTCATCTACTGAAATTATTTATGGCCTTGTGAGTGAAAGAAAGTAATTGTTCCATCAGAAGTCAACTCCCTTGGCACATATCCCATTGATCCCAGCCAGTAAGTTAACGTTATCCAGTCTTTCAAGCTCACAACTGAGGCAGAAATGATTCAGCTACAGCCCCTCCAAGGACAGGGACAAGATTCAGGTCCTTCTGCTGACTTTGTACTTCATACTCAGTGCTGTTAATTCACCACCTTCCATTGCAAGCCTTTGGAATAAGCATCACTTATCAAAGTGATTTGAAAATCAAAGAGGAATCGGAGAATCACAGAATTGTAGGGGCTGGAAGGAACATCCAGAGATTATTAAGTCCAACCCCCCTGCAAAGCAGGCTCTCTATTCCAGGTTACACAGAGTTCTAATGGCAAAAAAAGACCAAGCAACTCATCAAGTCAAGGCCAACAGATCTGCAGTTGTTTTTTCCCTCTGTAAAGCAGACCTCCAGTCCTCCACCCCAGCAGTAATATTACCTATGATAGTGAGCAACTCGTAACAGCTGCTGTCTGGCAGGAAGTTGCTCATGGTGTCCCTTTTATGGGATGAAGCTATCGACTCGGAGCTCGCCTCATTTGTCTGGGGAGAAAAAATAAAAGATCACGTGCCGATAAAAATCACCTGCTCCTTAAATTGCTGTACACACAATAAAATAACCGAAACAAGAGGAGATAATTTAACTGCTGTTAAAATAACACTGAACAGTTAAATGTCAACTGAAATCCAGGAGATGCCTCATTTCAGAAGGTCCAGACATCTGTGTTTTAAACTGCAAAATGTTCACTCTAAGCTACGATGTCTTCAGAAAGATTTGGACAAGGCCAATTACTGATCCCCTGGACAGTTTAAGCACTGCTCTGTAGTAACTATCTTTCTTTATTTACATCTTGCCTGAGCAAAGGCCATGGAAGCACAGAACATCTCCAGTATGCTGCCCTGTGGCACTCAGCACTCCTGCCTGATGCTGGGGCTTCGGTGCTCGCTGCATTAAGACCAGCACAGCTGAAGTTACTGAGCTGAGTGCAGAAGTGATGAACCAAGTCAGAGAAGGCACGAAGGTCAGCAGGAAAAATAAAGCTCCAAATGAAAGCAAAAATTCAGCTGCAAAGAATTAGTGCTTACAGGAGAAAAACGACCTCACACCACACAGGGAATCAGCACTCTCAAACCTGCCAGCTTTTCTTTGCTACTTCCAATATGAAGCTGCCTGCTTTATTCACACACCTCTTTTCCAGCAGCATTCTGTGCAAGACAAACTGCAAGGCTCTTGCAAGTTCCTCTCTACCTTGCAGCTCCCCTGAATTCCCAAAGTCACAAGCAGTGCATCCTAATGGGGATCCAAATTGATTTGGTGTCTCACAGCAGATTTAGTCATCTCCCATTTCCAGCACATTAACTCCCGCTGACATTTGGAAGCACAGCTCATTTCTTCCACCTCATTCTTCATCAATTGCAAATGCCCTTTATCAGACCTTTCCTTATGGCACACGAAATACAAAGGGCTCGTGCATTTTCCTACAGTGACAGTGAACATTCTTTTATTCCCAACACAGCGACGTGCCCTGCTCTGCACTCAGGAAGGGTAAACAGTGCACAAGCACAGGCATCATTTACCATAGATCACCTTTGATTCAGTCTGAGGATTCAGCTCCTGAGCAGCTTTCAGCTGTCCCTAAACATACCCTGGGGATAAGCCACAAGTCAGGCTTCCCAACTTCCAGCTTTGCAGCTGATTTCAAAGAACATTTTACCTCTCTGCATCCACCTTCAAAATAAGTGTTAATCTCAGTTATGGGCAAAGGTGAAACTCAGTTTTGTGAACGTGCTGTGATGCAATTTCAGCTCAAACAACTGCAGCACAGCAACTCAGCTGGTGTCTGTCCCAGGGTAACCAACCCCTCCGACCTCAACAGTTCTAAAACCTTCACTGCAGCCACAGCACCACACAGTGCTGCAGCCTGGCTGTGGACACTGAATGGAAAGTTACTGCCCGTCTCAAACCTGTGGTAAAGATTCTTGTTAGTTCTTTCACCCCATCATTAATTATGTCTTCCATCAATTTCACACAGTCCTGTCAGCGTCAAGATTCGACACACAGGCAGATGGAAACCTCTGAAGCAAAAAGGCACCACCAAGGAAGTGAAAGCAGAAGGCTCTGATAGCAGCATCATGGAGCAATGGCAGCAGGTGAAACGCTCAGCAGTATGTAAGTGGTTTGCTTTATTCAAGTCCATTCCAGATAGAGCATAAGCCAACAAAACAGATGCAAAAATTAAACAGGTCTTAGTCATGGTTCAGGCTGTTTCAACAGCAATGAAAAAAAAAAAAGGAATGTAAACTCTCTTTTTAGAGGTCTTCATCAGAGGTCCTCACTCACCTGTCCTCATGTTAGCAGTGACCAATAGCTGAGAGTTAATGCAAAAGGAGCTCCACCAGAAAATTATCAACATGGGATAAGAGTTGGAAAAAAAGAAAGTTAAACTGAAATGTCACTTATGAAATACTGCAAAAAAAAAACAACCAAAACAAAAAACCACTCCTTGGTGGTTTCACACAGGACAGCTTTTGGTGTATGGTTAAAAGCAAAAGCAGCTGCAAAATGAAGTCACATGTAACTTGCTTTATGGCATGACTTTCATGAATAGACAGCTTTCAGCCTCATTGATCAGGTTGTAACTGGAAATAAGTTTGATGAAACTGATCTGAGATAACTGCTGTTATAAATGCCACGTGAAAGTGAGCTGTGTGATGCTAGCAAAGATCTGCCTTTGCCAAATCACATTCATCTGAAGCAGAAAGGGGGAACGTTGTTTTTGTTCTGCTGCCTCATCACCTCCTTATTCCTTCATCCCATCCAGTCCCTTCCCCCACTGTTTGCCTTTCTGTAGAACCATGTGAGGAAAAGAAAGTTTCATTTAGCTGTAAGCACAAAAATAATCACCAGCACCCCTTCTGTGTCCAAAAATCTGAGTACTTTAACAGAAGCAATACAGATGCTCAGCTCAGTGCTCTCCCAGGATAGCATAAGGTGTGAATCTGCATCACTTTACATGAAACATTCCATGTGCTGTGTATTTTCAGCTTTGTTTGTGCCAGTAAATTACAGATAGTGACACAAAATTAATTAGCAGCAGCCTGAACTGACACAGTTACAATCAAATCACACTTAATTCCTGTTAGTAATTAGCTTGAACTAAAGCAACAGCTGCACAGATCTACAAACGTGGTGTGAGCAGGTGGGCAGCAATTCAGAGATATATCTTGCCATAAAGTATGTTATTCTCTGAGCACTGCTCATCATGAATGGCGCTGTGTGTCATCAGGGTCTGCAGAACAAAAAGCAAAGGCAAAGTTCTCAGCAGCTCTGTTTGGCTGTATGGTTTGGAGCAGAAATTCCACGTTCACAAATGGCTTCAATTTCTAGGAGGCAAAGCTCTGTGTGTGTGCAGAGAATTGGCTCTGAAGACGACCACGCAACAGGAGGTCAAGTCAGCTCAGACCAAAAATTACACGTTACTGATGTAACTGCTCTCCAGAGGAAATAAAGGAAATCAAAATCTACGTGTTCAGAAGGGAACGTGGCTCAGAATGACAAAATAATAATAAATGAGGGCTGTTTTCAGAAGTCTTGCAAGCTGACTGCTTCCATTTATTCTGAAACAGTTCAGAGATCAGCATCGCTCAAAATGAGATCTTCATAATCCCAAAACTCAGGTGGGTGGGTGGGGGACCAACCCCTACCACTAATCCAAGAGAAGAAGTTCCGACTTCCAGACCAGTCACCAAGTTTGCAAACCATACACCAAAACCTCCGTGCCAGGGTGAAACCCATCTCCACACTTATGTATAGAGATGAAGGACTAGAACCAAGGTAAAAAGAAAAATGTATATATATCAAACTTCCACAAGGATAATCTCCATGCAATGAACCACAGCACCACAGCCTGCAAACGCCACTTACTTTTCTCCTAGAGTCACCCGGAGGCTGCTCTGGAGTAAAGAAATTCATTGTTCACCAAGTTGTGTTCAACAGACACCCGAACAGAGTTGGAACATAACTGAGTGCACGACCCCACGCGATACTTATTGACACCAACAGCTACAGATATATATTCTTACACAAATAGTTAATTAACAATAAGGCTGCTGCGTTACAAGTAATCAGACAGTCGCACAAGAACAGGAATCAAAGGGATTCAGTAGTGCTGCTGTTTATATTCAACATAAAAGCAAACTGATACTTAAGAAATGACACTGATACTTAGCTTGAATAGAGAACAAATCATCTAATGTTTATTTATTTGAAGGAGAAGCTCAAAGATCTACAGATACATCTTTCCTATACTAAATCACCGACGAAGATTCCTGCATCCTAGCAGAATATTCTGCTTGTTGCACACACAGCAGACCAGAAACCAACCAGCTCTCCTACAGGCAATGCTGGGGAGCCATCATAACAGTTTCAAATTCATTTTTACTCCATTTACCTTCCCAAACCTCTGTGTTTTACTTTCACCCAAAAGCAGTTAAGCTAAGGAATCCAGATTGCAGTGTCTGCAAACAGAACTGCCATCAACGTGGAATTGATCTCCAAATGCCTTGTTGGGTGTTTGTGGTAACTTTACATTCCTAGTCAGTCTGAACAACCAGATTTGGTGCTACAACCAGATGTATCCACCTCTTTTACTGCTAGGTAGATATTTTCTCACAAAATAACACGCCTGGAGGCTACAATAAGGCTACAATAAAGCACTTCTAGAAAGGTCACTTAATGAGAGGAAAACTTACCTCCAAATAGTTCGAACTCCCTCAAGCCCTCAACAATGAACTTTTCGGACACCCACCGCTAAGAGAAAAGAAATCCCCCCAACAATTGGTTACTTCCTTTAGAGACAAACCACTCCCCTTCCCTCCCACACCCCTAAACAAAAGCAGAATCACTTCATAACACACTTCAACTGTTACTGTGCCTGTAACACAGTATGCTATGGACAAGGATTTTCGTTTTGTTTGCCACTAGGATGGCAGGCATGCAGCAAGCACACACGTGTCACTGCATCTCCTGAATGGCATGCACTTGCAATAAGGTTAATGTTAGATTATTCAAACAAGAGCTTTCACACATGCACACAGAGCAAAATAATAAGCATGCTGTGCTCCCTTGTATAAAGATATAAATGTTCGGGTGCAAAAATCAGTGTTCTTATGAAGTGACAACATCTCTGAGCACTTTGGCTACATACTATCTAGGTGCAAAATTAAAACAAGTATCGCAGAAGTTCTCTTCCAGAATTCATGCTTAGATGTCAGAGCAAGCATTGTTGGTGCAGAGATACGCTTCTACCATTCTATTTGACTCCATGATTCAAAGAAATGAGGAACAGAGAATAGAAAGTGCAGCTTTAGGCTTGCAATGCTGACTGCCAGGTTAGCGTTAAGCAATCACAAACAGCCCCGTGTCAGAACGTGGCAATAAAACAAGGTAAGAACGGATTGTGTCGTTCAATGCAAGCAAAGGCAGTCCTGGAAAGCAGCGCTCCGTGGGTGACGGTGACCGGACATCACACAGCGATCACAGCCGCTGCGCTGTAAGCCGTTAGAAGTGCTTTTCTCACGTGACGCCGATTGTTCGACACTTTAAAACGCGGAATTAACAGCGCCGCCGTTCGGTTTCCCAAATGTTCGGTTCGGAGGGCGCACGGGCGGTGCCGGGCCTTCCCCAGTTCCCCTCGTCCCGAACGCTCCGCACCGCCAGCAGCGGGGTTTTAAAGCAGCTTTTACCGCGGTTCCCGTGACCCCGGGCGCGGTGCTTTCCATACGGCCCCGAGCAGGCCGCGGCCCGGTTTACCGGCTGAGGGGAGCTGGACGCCGTTTAACACTCACCCTAATCCGTTCGGGTTTACTTACAAGAAAAGACATGGACTCCGCGATCGCGCTACCTCACGCAGCTCACGCAATGAACGGCAACCTAAGGGACGAGAACAGTTGGTTCCCCCGGCCTGGTCCCACCCGCCCCTCACGCAGCCCCCGGCCCTCACCTTCTCCTCAGGCTGCGCCCGCCTCGCACCGGTAGAGACGCTGCGTGTGACGTCAGCACGCAACCACGTGACGCAGGACGTCTCGGCGCGCTTCTATGACGTCGCCTCGCAGGCCAGCGCGCGCGCGCACATGAGAAAGGCGGGAAGCCGAGGGCGCCGCCATGTTGGTTCTCCTCAGGGTGTGGTCGAGGTCTTTCAGCACGGTTGCTCCGCAACAGCGCGGAACGGTGCTTTACTCCAAGAGGCAAAGCCTCTATCGGTACCATATCGAACGCTTTGCATTGGCTGCTGGCCCTGGCTTTACACCTACCTCTCACCCGCGGGCTGGTTCACATCACTGTCCCCACATCCTTGCTGAGGTAAAGTTAGTTGTAGTGCCTGAAAAAAACTACTACTCAAACACAAAACATACACTGAGCCCTGCCCAGGGCACCTGAGATTTTGAGGTGCCGGTAGCTGAGAGGAACATGGAGTCCAAAGCAAAGAAGACAGGTGGAGTGTTTCAACGATCCTTTACTCTTCATTAGGTAGTTCATTGAATGTTCAAATTACAAAATTAGCTGCCATGGGACTTGGGGAAAGCTGTCCGCTTCTTCAAGAGAGCACACACCGTATTTCTTTTCAAAGAACCTTTTGAAACACAATCATATTAAATCTTCAAAGCTAAATAGTGCTAAAATTTCACATGATCTACCTTAGTTTTGGTTTTAAATTAACTTTACCAACCATTATAAAATTTCACATATTTGCATGGATCAGGTTACAGATTTTTGCATTTAAATCCATGTGAAGTACCCCCACGCTGGAACAAGAGCTTTAAGCAAGTGTTGTTTCAACAGCAGATCATTCTTATTGCCTAAGAACAAAGTTTGCACAAATCATTGAACAAGAAAATGCAAGACACTGTTTCCCCACAAAACTGTAAGAAGTCTGTCACAGCAACAATGTAATGCCTTCTGGCTGGAAGCATTTATAAAATGCAGAGCTCTCTCAGTGAAGTGTTTGCACAAGGGCATTCACTTCCCCCCACTTATACTCAAAAATCTGAAATGACTGCTTATCAGACAAGACGAGACGTCCTCTGGAACGTTTTCACTTCCTTGGGGAAATTGAATTGCAGGTACTTCACCGAATCTAGCTTCTTGCTGAAGTGAATTATGCAGCAGCTGCTAAGACCAAGAGAAATGTTCTTGAGGCAAGTTTTTACAGTTAAAATATTCCAGGAAGGCTAGTTGAAGCTGCTCAACTCACCATGCACTCCTAAAGAAACACGACGCCAACATTACAATTTTACATTGTATTAAGGTCGCAGCATTCAAAACCACAAGTAGGAAACGATGCTCACATACTCCATTCCCTGGTATCTGACCACCTATGTTACCTATCATGCTTACAGGTGAACCAGTACCTTATTTGTAAAGAAAAGAAAAATAGTTTCTGTTCTACTGGGCTTAAATCCCTGAAGTATCCATATTGTGTATGGAAGGCTTTAAGTTTTGTGCCTTTAAAAGCTCGATGCAAATAAATGCACAGTAAATGCTTGTTGTGCAGTTTTCTTCCCCTTAATTTAAGAAATCCTCTCTTCCTTCCTAACAGCTAAAACCGAAGTTTAAAACCAAAGCATGTTACCAGCATACATGGACATGTTTACAATCTCACGTTTTTGAAGAATAAATGACAAAGAGCATTCAAGAATATTGCATTTTTGTTTTCCAAACAAGTAGCAAAAAATTATACCACCTGGAATAAACTGCTGAGACAAAGCCCTGTACATAAACCTGCAATGTCGCTGTAATACTTAAGTAACACCAACGCAGGGAACGTTTCCCTTAATGGCTAGTAGTGTTCAAAGAATTGTAGGACTGTGGAGTTAAGGAGGTCTTTGCACCCCGTGAATTCAAATTCTGCAGGTGGCGATGAGACAGGCTTCTCACAGCGAAGTCACATAGCTTTCACTTTGATTTGCTTCATCTTCATCTGCTTCTTCTCAAGCTTCTTCTGTTCACGCCGCAACGCAGCTTCCTGTAGGAAAGGATACAGAGATTCCAGTGAGCATCAGTGATGTAGTCCAAGAACAAGCTCGCCGTTTCAGAAAAGCAGGACAAAGAAGCAACGTTCAGTACTGTGCTTGGGGTCACATCTCTGACCAGGTAAGCTGGCTCCCCACTGACAGCCTTCACACATTTCAGAAAGTAGGAGAGCATACACTGAAAGTGCATGATGCCCTCCAGCGAAATAAGAACTGAAGTCAGGCACTGCTGCTGGTAATGCCTACAGACAGCCCTGGAGATACTGCAGGAGAAACGTGCCAGCAGTCTGCGACAGTCTGAAAAATCCACCTCACCTCCAGCCGACGCTGTTTTTCTGGATCCTCCTCATTCATGATTCGCTCCTTCTCTGCTCGTTTCTTCTCCTCTCGACGGGACTGGGCGGCTTCCTGTCTCTGCACATGAGTCAGTTTAAGGAAGTTCTCCTCCACACGGGCCCTGTTCTTATCAGCTTTCTGCTTACCCTTTTCACAGAGAAAAGCAAAGGCAGTTAACAGAGATCCTCCGTGAGCAGGGTGGTAGTTATACTGGAAAGACAAGACTCCTGCCTTTAAGACTAAGGATCCAATGTTAGCATTTGGAGTTTATATGATTTTCAGAAGGCACAAGGCATATACTTACTTCTCTGTTCAGACGGAACTTCTTTGCTTTGTCAATAGAGTAGATAACCATGCTCATCAGAGGCAGCAAAGACTCCATATCCTTTGGGGAAGTATTGCCTGAACCAGGCACTGAAACAGAGAGTTTCCTATTAACTAAGAGAGATTGGCAGGATTTTTCTATTGGCTGTAATTTTCTTTATCACACCACTAATGAAAAAGATATTCTTGTCCACTGCCTTCTATTTACTGGATAATCACTCAGTGACCCTGCTTACATGCAATGAAGGCATTTGTAACATCGTCTTCAACAGGTGAAGAAACTTGAGCATATGACTAGCAGAGAGAAAGCACAGCGCCACGCAGACACACAAACACACAAGCAGTTCTCTTACCATTAAATGTAAACAAAAGTGTCTTTTTAGTTTCGGGCAGTTTTGTAAGCTGACCCTCCCTGGTAGGAAAGAAAAAGTTACTGAAACGAGTGAAGAATAAACATGGGCACGCAAAATATCTGCCAATGTCAGGGAATCACACGAAGAACCAAGAGACACTTGCATAGTACACACAACTGAAATAAACACATTTAAGTTTCAGATTACCCAGACTCCTGAACTATTTTACTCAGTTCAGGATTCTAACGCACCAAAGTCAAACCTACATTTCACAGAGCCTTCAAAGCTTAGCCATTTCAGTACAAGACACTGTCTTGACTTATAATTAAATCAATGCACATTCCTTTTTTAGAGGACAGTTTCAAGTTTTGATATGGATCATTTATTCATATACCTGTGAGCAAACCACGCTCTTGCAAAAGCCTCCATGGCGATCATGGTACGATAAATTGCCCACTGCTTGGTAATTGTGAGGCAGCAGTGAAAAGTACCCCAAGACAAGGCTCAGAGAAACAAAACATACTGCATCTCTGTAATTTTGAAACATTAACTGGAACAACAGTACCTAAGCAGGTTTGTTTTGTTTGTTTTTTGTCTTTTAAACTGCAGACTTTGCCCAAACTGAGCCCTCAGATAGCATCTGGATGGACATGTGCTTTTTCAACCACTCCTCCTGCAGTGTTATTTACTCCTGAA